GATTAAAATTCAGATCAATAACGAGGAATCCTTAAAACATCCGCAAAAAGATATCGACGAAATTAAGTTATGTTTGTGGTCACAGAATTGCTCTGATTAAGTTTTTTCACTTCGTTCCGCAAATTCTCTTCAGCAGCAGCAGGAAGGAATGTTTTTCAAATATAATTCACCGTAGCATTATTTCTCAGAATTTGTCAAGGTTTATTAGGGTTATTTACATTTTATTTATTTATTACTAACGGATTTAGACATTCAAATGAAATTGGCCTTAAAATTAAGGTACCTTGGACAAAACGAACAATGTTGACTGGTGATATTGGTCAGTAGACAAATATTATCCCATATAAAAATAATTCCATAAACTTTAAAAGTCGTTTTTTATTTTGAAATACATGTTAAGGGATATTTTTTAAAAATACTGTATGTTCTGTTTTTGTTCAGTTGATATAGGGTGTCCTGGTACTTGATACAAAAAATTCGAGTACAAATAGATGAAGTCAATATAATATCAGGTTTTTTTTCATATACATTTTTTTCATACGGGCCTTCTTTAACAAGTTACGGGTCCTCAAAGATGAATATTAGAAAGTTATTTTTATTTACATAGTCGCTAAACTATTAACATCAACATGATGCAAATTTGGTGATCGACACCAGGTTGTTTTTGATGTAAGTCAAACTTCATTATGTCCAGAACGCCAGGGACGGACTATGCGGAATGTTTGCATTGGTTCAACTCACAGTATACTAATCAATCAGTAGGGAAAGTTACGTTTCCCGCGTCTTCCATATTTCCACCATTTTGTTAGCGACTGACAGTTATTACGATTTCCGTACTCATATTTTCATTCATAAACCTAGTATGTTTTCATTATTGTATATGTAACTAACCTCACTTAAACCTTCTTATATCTCAGCTTTATGCATTAAAAACCTTATTTTATGATGTTGGTCGAGTAGTTGTTCAGTTTAGTTATCNTTATGTTTGTGGTCACAGAATTGCTCTGATTAAGTTTTTTCACTTCGTTCCGCAAATTCTCTTCAGCAGCAGCAGGAAGGAATGTTTTTCAAATATAATTCACCGTAGCATTATTTCTCAGAATTTGTCAAGGTTTATTAGGGTTATTTACATTTTATTTATTTATTACTAACGGATTTAGACATTCAAATGAAATTGGCCTTAAAATTAAGGTACCTTGGACAAAACGAACAATGTTGACTGGTGATATTGGTCAGTAGACAAATATTATCCCATATAAAAATAATTCCATAAACTTTAAAAGTCGTTTTTTATTTTGAAATACATGTTAAGGGATATTTTTTAAATATACTGTATGTTCTGTTTCTGTTCAGTTGATATAGGGTGTCCCGGTACTTGATACAAAAAATTCAGTACAAATAGATGAAGTCAAAATATCAGTTCTTCATATACATTTTTTTCATACGGGCCTTCGTTAACAAGTTACGGGTCCTCAAAGATGAATATTAGAAAGTTATTTTTATTTACCTAGTCGCTAAACTATTAACATCAACATGATGCAAATTTGGTGATCGACACACAGGTTGTTTTTGATATAAGTCAAACTTCATTATGTCCAGAACGCCAGGGACGGACTATGCTCAATGGTTAACAACCCAGAATGTTTGCATTGGTTCAACTCGGTAAAATTAACAGTTTAGTAATTATTTGTGGTTTTATATCGCAGTGCACATACACATTTCTTACTTTTTAAAAATATATTATATAAGTTTATTATAAATGCACGGTTTCAATCATTCAATGTGCCAACTTAAATTTCTAGTCGTACTGAGATAGCATGTTTTTACTTAAAGATCTGAGTTAGCATGTTTTCCAACTGAAATTTGAGATAGCATGTTTTCCAACCGAAATCTGAGATAGCATGTTTTGGTACTAAAGCGTCGATATGTCCTTCTATTATTATTTGCTTTTTGCACAGGACATCCTGTATATGTTGTCCTATTTGAATCTGAGCGAAAGAGGTTTTCCCTTTTCANCTACTAGAGGTAGCATGCCAATGCGAAAAGTGTGGCTGAGAGACAGACAGTATCTCAGATATGCTGTCTCACTCTAGCACGCCGCGATTGGTTGAAGCATTCATTTCCAACCAATCGTGACGTGCTAGAGTGAGACAGGATGTACTGATGTACTGTCTGTTTCTCTCGCACACTCAGCCACAGTTTTCGCAATGGCATGCCTCTAGTAGTATATGCTCGAAGGATCCGCCATATTCTTAGCGACTTTTCCTAGGGTGGGGGTACTTAAAAATTGCCATACGGAATTCATTCATAAATCATTTAATATTCCCTACTGATTGATTAGTATACTGTGGTTCAACTCGGTAAAATTAACAGTTTAGTAATTATTTGTGATTTTATATCGCAGTGCACATAAACATTTCTTACTTTTTTAAAAATATATTATTTAAGTTTATTATAAATGCACGGTTTCAATCATTCAATGTGCCAACTTAAATTTCTAGTCACACTGAGATAGCATATTTTTACTTAAAGATCTGAGTTAGCATGTTTTCCAACTGAAATTTGAGATGGCATGTTTTCCAACCGAAATCTAAGATAGCATGTTTTCGTACTAAAACGTCGATATGTATTTCTATTATTATTTGCTTTTTGCACAGGACATCCTGTATATGTTGTCCTATTTGAATCTGAGCGAAAGAGGTTTTCCCTTTTCAATGAAAGATTCTTACTTTCCATTAATTTAACGAGTAGGCTAATAGTTCAGTAAATAAATTTATTTATTACTGATATGACATGAGTATTTACGCAACTACGAACACAACATTCGTAAAATGGCTTTGGTTAGATAGGTACCTACCATTATTCATAGAAGTTTGAAGTTTAAATCACTTTCGTTCCGATAACTCCTCTAATGTATTTACCCAAGATATGTTTATTAAGCCTTGTAGGCTTTCATCTGGTTCGAAGCCTTGAAATATGTCCCACAGAAGATTAATTTTCAATTAAATTCTCACAGACCGGTTCAAGGGCAATAAATAATACGTGACACCTAATCAAACGCAATTTTTATATATGAATTTTGTTTTGTGTACTTGCGTAAGAATCTGACCGCGAATTCTTCTGAATTTTCATACTGTTACTGTTACTATTACTATTATAGGTACTATTGGTCTATGCTAATTGCATTTTCTTAAAACGTGAACAAGTGAAATTAACAACTAAGCTCATACTAACGATCTGTTAATTAACATCAAATTAAACTTATGCCAAATATGATCACTAGACATCGGAAACTTTGTGGCGACTATAAAATAAATAAACAGTAGTAATCTATATTATGCTAGTAAGCGGTAGTACGCGTTGTAGTAGCAGAAATTGGCTAAATCTGTGGTCAAGCCGTGTGCCGCGCTCTATGCTTACGACACAAAATTCTACTGACTGCCATAAAAACATGTACCATAACTCGACCAAGCAAAGTGACAAACTCGCTCACATACGCACAAACGACAATGAAATACTCGGATTGTTCACCCGCACGGCAGGCTAACAGGGCAGGCATTAGGGTGCAGCGTATCGAATAAATTGATTGATGCGAAGCCTCAGATCAGAGGGAGACATGTACACGTTATTGTACAATGACGCGGATAGTGGGATTACTAAAATAGGCTTCCCCGCCATTAGAAATATAATCTATTAAAAACTTCGATTAATAAATAGCTGTAGCGAGATTCGTACCATAAATTGAAAGTAGAGAAAATTCTGGAATATGCCTTTAAGTGTCCTCTATGATATCGAACAAGAATTGTAAGGGTACACCTTTTAATTATTTATAAACAGACGGTCTGGGTACGATATAAACAATTTATCTTGCAATAACTAAAAGGTGTACCCTTAGAATTCTTGTTCGATATCATAGAGGGTATTCCAGATTTTTCTTAGCTTTCAGTTATTGGTACGAATCTCGCTACAGCAGTTTATTTATAGACAGACGGTCTGGGCACGATGTAAACAATTTTTTTTGTACTAACTAAAAGGCGTATCCTCACAATTTTTGTTCGATACCATAGAGAACACCTAAAAACGTATTCCAGATTTTTCTCTGCTTTCAGTTCATGGTCCGAATCTCCTTACAGCTATTTATTTATAAACGGAATACGGAAAATACGAAATACGGAAAACGGATATAAACGGAATAAAGGGATGTATCGTTACAATTTTATTTGTTGTATAAACATTGGTCCCTATACTATTTCATGATTATTTTTAAACGTATAATATGATTTTTCCCGTTTTAATTAATCAATATTTTATACGCGGTATTGTGTACGACCTCGCTAATGAGTTTGGCTGCTAGTTTCAGCCTCATAAGGAACAGTAGGGGACCGTTTGGTGGTTTGGTAGTTATACGAGAGTTTTCTCCATGTTATGCTTTTGGGAGGAGTTAATTAATGAGTCAAGAGTCCAAGTTTTCGAGAGAAGTTCAAATTTAAAGAAAAATCACGTTCTAATATCTTTGAAACTGTTTTACTTAGACTTAGATTAATGAATCCTGGATTAACGATTTAACTAATTAGAGACAAAAGTTGTTTGAAGTGGTACACAGACGTGTTAAGCGGAGATACCTGAAAACTTTGTCGTTAAGAACACCAGAATTTCAACGTCACGGGATGTTTTGGAAACTGAAAAAAAAAAAAGATTATATTTGACAGCAATGCATGCATCGCAAAGCTAGCCGCATCGCGGCTAGCACGCGCGTTGTTTGAGGTTACACTAGCCTGCCCAGCGGCGAGGTATGAAAATTCCGAAAAAAGATAAAAGAAGTAAATTTTCATGGTGGAATTTGAGAAAACAACAGCAAGTCGTTCAAACACTAAAATGCATCTAAAGTCTTCTTCATCTAAACTGCTTTAAAAAAATGTGACTGCTACAAACTGTTGATTATTTTAATTTTATTGGGATTTTCCGGTTTATCCGGTCACTGAAGTACTTTTTTTCTTTAGATCGGTACCAACAAGTTGATGTACATTGCAAGAGGGTTTGTCAAGGTGGAGAAGTGCCCGAATCTGTGCTACGCTAATACGGTGAACTGGACCAAGATTTCCACAAGATTAGATTTCACCAACATAAATAATGGTACATGCGATGCATGTTCCAGGGCATGTGACGGTAAGAGAACCTACATATTTTAAATAGTTAATGACCGTTACCACTTTTAATGGAAAACGCATGCTTAAAGTCTTGATTCTGCTGGTTTTAAATATTCTTATATGAGCTAGAAAGCTTGCTAGTGTACACACTCACATACAGGGTCGGAAAGTCCCCATGGTTCATCGGCCGTTACGTGAGAGAAGTGGATCTTATTTGTGGAAGAGAGAAATGGGCGGTGACTATTAGACGCCTTCATTATAGCCATCTTTCTCTATCGCACGGATTTCTATGACTTTCTTGGGACTTTCCGACCATGTATATAAAAATTACATCTTTTTCTAAACGTGCGTCAGAAAAGTATAGCTGTTTTAGATGTCAATTCTTTATAGAAGGTATTTTCTCACCTAACCACCACCATCAATTTTACTTGAATGAAACAAAATATACAAAAGAACAATAATTGTTTGTAATTTGAGACCCAACTAACCATTCGATATAGTAAAGAGAAACATTTTTCTAAGAGTATTAGAATTTTCTCCTATATTTGATGACCTGTACGTGGAATAGTGAGATGTGCATTAAAAAAATACTACGCTCCTTGAAAGTGTACTAAGCAATAATCATCTTATTAGAATGTTTTATTTATAGTGGTTTAACTTGTTTTTCACATAATTTTACGCATGATTTTGTAAATTCAAGGAAATTGTAAGTAACTTTGTAATGAAGGTATAATGTAATGTAAAAAAAACAATTTTTAATTCCTAACTTTTGTTTGCCACGCATTTTGTTTTAAAATTAACATGATAACAATTCCGTTTAGCATTTGGTAGTTATACTTATTTTAATTCTTGTTGCGTAAGTAAGACTATAAATATTATATTTAATTACATACCTGTTACATTTTCAAGGTTTTTAACAGAAGTTTTTCATTCTTTTAGCTAAAAACAACAACTAATATAAGGCGATCTAAATTTTCCATATCGTAAACTGAAATTCGGTCAAGGAAATGCGAGGACTGAAGCTCAGTTAAGATAAATACAATCATTTTGTTAATGTTTTTATGTGTGAGGAGAATTTTTATAAAACGGTGTTAATGACCCCAACTATTTGACATTCATTGATAAACAAAGAGGAATTATTCATTTTGCAATCATTCCGTTAATTTAAAATTATTATTAGGTATTTACTATTTTAACGCAAATAAAAATAATAATAACAATTTAGTTAAATTAATATAAAAATTATTTTATACTTATCTTTTGTATCGAATTTCACTGTCAGAAACAGGAACAGCTTTCTCAGCATTAACATTTTGATAATTGTGAAATTAAATCTTATATTCACTTTCCTCTAGTGAAATTTTTCAATTTAGGTAAAAGTAGGCATGTTCATACAGTGAATAACATTTTAATATCGAGGTTTATTTATTTATTATTTATTTCTTTATTTATGTATTTATTTATTTGTTTTCAAGATTTATACTTTGAAACAGGCAGATGCTTTATTATAAAAATTAAAGAAAAATAATAATTTTAGGGATTTTGTTATATCGTCTCTTGGGCAGATTAAAATAAGCAAAAAACATGTAGCTTTTCTACGCTTCATAAGAATGTCTATGTTTTGTTTGTGCTTTTCTTAAGAACCCTTTAAGTATTTAATGCATAGTAACATTTGTTGCAGGACAGTGTTGGAATTCAGATCAATGCCAAATGAAGGTAGACGACAAATGCCATCGAGAGTGCTTGGGATGTTCTGAGATCAATTCTGACAAACATTGTTGGGTTTGCAAGAATTACAACGACCATGGGACTTGTGTTGCTGCATGTCCAAGAACTGGTCCTCAGAAAAAGTACGTATCGTTGGCAAAAATAAAAGCAAATGTGTTGTGAGCACACCATTTGTAAATTCGCTTAGAAAACGGGTAGATTTAAACTTAAAACATAACGCATTTTGATTTTATTATTATCAGTTAGTTTCATTTTTGTGCAAGATAAAAATCTTAATTGCAGTTTTTGGTATTGCACTTTTCGGAAGAACTTTTTTTTTAGTTTCTCCTTTTTTGTTTCTTTTAATTTTACATTCTTTATAATATATCTTAACAGTCAAGTATATGTTTGGATTTAATGAACCAATACATGACATCCTGTACAATTTTTTTTATTAGTTCAAGAAACTAATAAATTTCCGAGAACAATTAATACATACAGAAATCATAACAGTCCTCTGCTGGTTTTTATTTCATGGTAATATATGAGCATTTTTGGTATAACAAATAAGTTGTATATAATAAATTACATTTAAGGGTTATTAATATTAATCACGCAGTCAATGCAAACCGGCTCATAAATAATTCATTATTTTGCAAAATAAAGGTAAGATGTAAACGACTTTTTACTTTTTGATATTTGCTATATTAAAACTTTATGAAGTTGGCTTTTTTGCATAGGGAAAAGTGTAAACTTTATTGCTATATGAGTAGCTAAAGTACGTTTCAATATTATAATATATATAAAGTTGCCACAAATTCTTAAAAATTTAATTAAACCCAGTATAATACAAAGTTGTTTTATTTAACCGTTAGCGGGCGTCCAAGTTGGTAAAACATTTTTTTTAATTACTGAATGGAAGTTTGGGATTGGTTGTTTGACATCATTTTAGACTGCTTAACTTTTCGAGAAACAATATGCTCTCGTCTTCAGAAGTCTGAAACTGTCCTCTGATTGGTATTTATAATTGCTTTGTGTACTGGCCTATGGTATACCGGTACCTGAAATCACTGGCATCCTATCTGTCAATGAATTCAGTACGATTGAAGCCTGTGCATGGCATTAGTACTTATAATATTTGAAGAATAATCAGTTCGTTCATAAGACCCTTCCCAAATGAGAAGAAGGTCCATCTGCTGCATATTTTTGCCAACTTTACCAAATTTCCAACCTTGCCTTATGTGATCAGTCTTCGATGAAGTACTTTCAATCTTTCAATATTTCTTTCATTGTCAATTTTGTAAAAAAGTGACGTTACATTAAAACTCACTGGATTGTCATCTGTATTCCCTTGACCTTGTTTATATAATCCGACATTTTCGACGTGGTGTTATGTTTCCTACATAGATCTAGAAAACTATAAGGTCTATGGTTTTCTCTGAGGTTATAAGATGGTAAATACCAGCATCCTTGAATAAAATGACATTCATGATGGCCTTTCAATCGTTGCACTCAGAAGAAATTGAGAGGTCCAGTCGGGTAAAAATATCTATGAGTATGTTTGTACTTGAGAAAAAAGATGTATCGGTAATCGATAATTTTTAAAAATATATGGAAAAAATGAACAGTATTCAGCAAATGATCAATTGTTATAAATTTATTTCTCCTTCAGTTGTAAAGTTTATCTGTATTTTACTGATTATACTTACAACAATTATCAGCAGATTTATCTCTGGAGATTTAAATTCCAAGACAAATGAAACAAATTTTATTTGCTCCTACAACAGAATATTTGAAAACATTGCAAGTATTGAATCGTCATTTTGTTTCAGGTACAGACAAGTAGCGTCTTTCAAGTGTGTCACTGAAAATGAGTGCAGAACTATGTTAAATGGCACTTGGTGGATCTATGAAGACCAATGTGTCAATGAGTGTCCATTAAATTACGAACAAACTGTCAGAGATAACCATCTTACATGCAAATATTGTGGAAATAAATGTACCAAGTGGTGTAAAATCAATAATAACGTAGACAGTCTGGACAAAGTACAAGCGCTCAAAGGATGCACTCATATAAATGGATCTCTTATGATACGAATGTCTGGTGTCACTTCCAAAAGTGAAGAGGTAAGAAACAATACTATATGTAGGGGTCAATATCAGAATTGATATTATATAGATGTGGCGTTAACAAACAGACTCGAAATTTGGACAGTAAAGATTATATATTAGGTGTATACATATATTATTTTTTTTTCTTTAACAGGTGATCATCCGAGAATTATGGGAAGGGAATTTACTGTCTGTGAGATATATCAGCGATTCCTTGGTAGTCGCATTGACCAATAGTCTACATTCATTAGATTTTCTAGTAAACCTGAGAGAGATAGGTGGCAAGAAGTTAGAACGCGGGAGATTTGCAATTTTTGTCTATGAGAATAAGAAGCTCCAGCGGCTTTGGAATTTCCAAAATTCTACCCTAAAGATAAAAAATGGTATGTCTTGAATATATTTTTAAAGATGGGTATTAACTTTTATTTACCTTAGGTACTTTGGGTTTCTTTAACAACCCTTTATTGTGTCCAAATGAAATAAAAACACTTGCCAATCTAACGAATATTCCAAGTAACTTTTCTCAATTAGATGTGTATGCAAATGGAGATCAATCAGCCTGTGAATACATCGACTTGAAGTTTACAGTTTCTGTTAATGTTGTCAATGCAACCCTGAAATGGGATCTTTTGCAGTTACAAAACAATGACGTTTATATAGGCTTTACTGTATACTACACCGAAAATCGAAAAGGGAACATTTCAACTTTTAATAGCAAAATTGCTTGCAGTGAAGGAGGATGGGAAAGTCACTTCACGTCCAACAATTCAATTTTTTTGGTGAATTTGAAACCATTCACGAGATATGCATATTATATCAAAACTTATCAGTCCTCCATGTTGAGCACACAGACTCCTGTTCATAACTTTACGACATTGCCCAGTGAACCAGAAGAACCCGCTAACTTAGAAGTCACTGCCATAGATGATCAAACTTTGAATTTGACTTGGTCTAAGCCAAACCGTATCAATGGAATTTTGTCACACTATCAGCTCTATGTGGTTGAGGAGCCTGATATAGACATACAGCGTGAGAGAGATTACTGCCTACATTCGAGAACGTAAGTATAATTTAACGTTCTTCTGAAAAATATACTTAACTTAAATTGTAGAAAATTTGAAAGAACAATCGAGATTTTCCAAAAAAAAAATTCTGGGGTTCATTACTACACTAATCTAAATGATTAAAGGGTCAAAAGAATTTTCGAAAGTTTTCTGTGATTTTTGACAGACTGTATTTAAGTGAAAACCCAAACCAGAATTCGATCCCGATTCATACCATTTTTTGAGACAAAGTAATTAATTTTTGTGCAGTCTGTAATCACTTAAAAACATTTTTTTTCAATACTACGCTTTTCTGAAAAAAAAATTCGAAAATTTTTGGAAAAAAAATTTTTGTTTTCATCAATTTAAATGTTTGCGGTAAAAATGCGAAAACCTCAAAAAAAAATTTTTTTCCATTTTAATCATGATTATGAAGTGTTTGAAGCTCAAAAATCGCGATCCTTTAATTTTTTTCAAAAGTTTGACTGTTTGAAACAGAAACGGTTCGCTAGATCGAGATGAAATTTCACAGGGTTCTTCTGGGTATATCGAACTGTAAAAGTCATGCTTAACATTAGTCATTTCGTAAATATTTCTAATTTAGTCATCAATTTTCTAAAAAACTATAAATAACCCTTTTTTCCTGGTTTTTTAAATTCGTGTAAAAGATGAAAAAAAAAAAAATCCGAAAAGTTGCGGCAGCATGTTCTAGGAAATTTATTACAGTTTTCGAAACTGCTCTTCAATTCTCTGTACGACCATTTGTCGCCGAGATATCGATGATTGAAGATAAAAAGGATCCAGTCCGATATTTCGATGAATAATGGTCGTATCGAAATTTTAAAAAAAGGAAATTAAAGCTGAATAAACAAGCTATCTGGTCCATGCAATGGCTTAGCTGAAAAAAAAATAAAAAATTCCAAGTCCGTGAACTCGGAAAAAAAATTAATTTGCAAAATTTGTTTGTCGCGCTATTTCTTAGAATTGCATGATAACAGTGTAGCTCCTAAAAATTTTCGACCGAAAGATCTAAAAACTGGAATCTTAGAGCTTCAAAATGCTTCTTTTTAATTCTCGATACGACCATTTTTCACTTAAATACAGTCAAAAATCACGAAAAAATTTCGGAAATTCTTTTGACCCTTTAATTGTTTTCATTAGTGTATTTAATAAATTAAATACACTTAGTATTATATTAATTAGCTACTCTGTATGTTTTTAGGGAGGAGGGTGATAAAATAGACGATCGTGATGAGCAAATAGAAAAAGAAAAGGCAGATAGTGCTAATCGAAATCGATTGATAGAAAAATGCACATGCCTTAATAAAAATGAACTTGTAACTGAAGAAGAAGTTAGTTTTCTTTCAATGGACGTCCACTTGCCTATATGTGATCTTCAATCTCAGTCAAAGTTTGGATTCGACCACTGTAAGCACTTGCTTTATGAACCATTAACTCTAATTGAAAGTAAGAGTGCAGTAATATCTGTGGAAAAACGATCAAAGCTTACTCATAACACTGTGAAGAAAGCGAGAAATTCCTACAAACCCATACATATCGATGCAAATTTAACAAAATATAAATTGAAAAAGTTAAAGCATTTTACAATGTACGTTTTATATTTTTCTGCATGTAATGAAGGTAATATGTGTGGTCCTGTACGGCAAAGTTTTGCACGTACTAAAAAACAATTAAATGCTGATGATATTAGCTCTGTTACTACCAAAGTAGAAAACTCTAATGCACTTGTTGAATGGGTGGAACCAAGACGCCCTAATGGTGTAGTGGTGGCCTATAATATTGAATATAAGAAAGTTGATGTAGAACACTCAAAACCACGAATAGAATGTTTGAGTAGAAATAAACAGTCAACAACTAAGAGATTAAGTTTAACAAACCTACTGCCAGGAACGTATGCTGTTCGTGTCCAAGCTATATCTCTGGCAGGTGCAGGACAATTCAGCAAATCTTACACATTTGTGATTGTAGCTCCTGCAAAGAACTCAGGGTGGGTAGTACCACTTATAAGTATATTATTGATACTAGCCTTATTAGCATTTATATTTTACATGCAGTATAGACGGAAACAAAAACTAGACAATATACATTTAATTGCATCCATAAATCCAGATTATGATGGTATAGTTTATGTTGAAGATGAATGGGAAATTGATAGAAAAGATATAGAACTTCAAGGAGAACTCGGCCATGGTACCTTCGGCATGGTGTATTGTGGTTTAATTAAATCCAAGAATATCACTTGTGCAATAAAAACTGTCAACGAAAATTTGAGTCTTCATGAATGCATGGAGTTTTTGAATGAAGCGTCCATAATGAAAGCATTCAGTAATTCTCATCACGTGGTGAAGCTTCTAGGTGTTGTCTCTAGAGGCCAGCCTCCCTTAGTAGTAATGGAACTGATGGAAAGGGGAGATCTTAAAAAATACCTGCGAAAGACTAGAGACTCCTCTCAAAACATCACGGCTAATGAAATTTATCGAATGTCCATCGAAATTGCAGATGGAATGTCCTATCTTACAGCGAAGAAATTTGTCCACAGGGACTTAGCCGCCAGGAATTGCATGGTGGCCAATGATCGCACAGTCAAAATTGGAGATTTTGGCATGGCCCGCGATATTTATGAGACTGATTATTATAGGAAGGAGACTAAAGGACTTCTACCTGTAAGGTGGATGGCGCCGGAGAGTTTAGCAGATGGAGTATTTACTAGTGACTCTGATGTTTGGAGCTACGGTATCGTATTGTGGGAGATTGCTACACTTGCTGAACAACCATATCAAGGTAATTATAATTTTCTTATAGGCCAATCAATAGAACATTAAATCAGTGATTTTGTGACAAAAATACTAGTAGCAAACGGACTGTGCCATTATGTAAAAAACAGTCTATAGATATATGCTTATATGTTTCCTACTCCAATTTACCGTTAATTAATTTTTTATAAACATTTTTATGCAAAAAAAAACGCACTTTTTTAGTTTTTTGCTTAATAAACCTAAACTAATGAAGCAATCTGAATGCTATAAACAGACAATTTGTAGGGAATAAAACGAGAGGTTGATCGATCCCATTGGATAATTAGAAACAAAGAAAACCCGGAAATATCAAAAAATTTTGCATTTTTTTAAAAATGCATTACTTCGCCATTATTTAAGTTGTCGAGCTGACCCTGTGCAAAAAAGTAGTGAATCATATGTACTTCAAGTGTGCACAAAGCAGGCAATGTGAGACCATTAGTTTTGGCACAATTGCATTTTGAAATTTTTGGTGCACTAATTTGCAAAGTTTTTGGATGCGCTGGAGGTGGTCCGATTAAAATTATTCAGCCGGATTTTAAAAGTAGAAGTATAATGCTATAGGGTACGGCAAAATGATAGGCACGATTTCAAATAGTCGTTGCTCGGTTTGCGGAAGCGATAACAATAAGCCAAAATGGCATGATATGTAGTTTCTAAAAATAAAAAACTTTTTTCTTTGCTTTGTGTGGTTTGGTTGTTATTGACATCTCAAATAGTACCTATCATTTTGCCGCATCCTGTACAAAACGCATATTCTAATTTTCCGATAAAGTGATGGGAAATAGGTGAAAAATTCCTCCAAACTTGCTCAAAAACGGCCGAGCGCGCGTAGCCGGTCGAGTAGTGGGGGAAGGTCAGTAGATGAGGGACATTGGATATATAGGTATACAATTTTGAAAATTGTTAGTTATAGTATAGTTTAATATTATTGTAAGTGGTGATATATAAAAAATGTAATAAAATTTCGTTAAGGACACCTAAATATGTATTCTTTGCACAGAAAAGTACATTTTTGAAGAAAACTTTTAAATTCACGTTTGATGTCAAGATTTCGCGTAAATGTCAAAAAATGCAGAAATAAACAAGGAATGTCCACAGGTTCACATCATTGTGATATCGTGTATTGATATTATTTATTATGTATTACCATTTACAACAGTATTAAACTATAACTAACAATATTCAAAATTGTATACTTATATATCCATTGCCTCTCATCTCCTCCCATCTCAGCCATTTTTGAGCAAGTTTGGAGGAATTTTTCACCTATTTCGCATTATTTTATCGGAAAATTAGAATATACGTTTTGTAGTATTATTGTACTTCTACTTTTAAAATCCGGCTGAAAAATTAAAATCGGACTACCTTCAACGCATCCAGGTGCAATATAGTGCTCCAAAAAATTCAAATTACAATTCTGCCAAAACTAATGGTCCAACAGCGCCTGCTTTGTGCACACTTAAAGGACATATAATTCACTAGTTTTGTGCACAGGGTCAGCTTTACAACTTAGAAAATGACGGAGCAATGAATTTTTTAAAAAACTCAATTTTCCGATTTTTCCGGGTTTTCTTCGTTTCTAATTATCCCATGTGATTGATCAACCTCTCATTTTATTCATATTTTGATTCTCTACAAATTGTCTCTTAATGGCATTCAGATTGCTTCGTTAGTTTAGTTTTTATAAGCCAAAAACTTTTTAAAAAAGGGTATTTTTGCATAAAAATGTATATAAAAAAATTTATTAATGGTAAATTGGTGTAGGAAACATAGAAGTATATATTTACAGTACAGACTGTCTTTTATAAGATGGCACACTCCGTTTGCTACTAGTATTTTTGTCACAAACAAAACCTCTGTTGATTGGTCTTATAAGAGGAACAATGACTTTTGAAAAATAAACAGAGAGATTGGACGTAGACGAGTAAAAAGCAAGCTAGTCATTCAGTTGTGCTGCTTAGAGGAGATGAGAATGTTTCAAAATGCAAACAGAATGAAAAAACAATGAATGCCTCATATTGGGCTATTTAGGCTGCGTTACGTTGGTGTCTTTGGGTGTTTACATTCACCAATTGCCGAAGTACATTCATGGTTTTTTCATCAAATTTGTTCTCAATCACTTGTAAATTAAACAATTAATTTTTATATTTGCCATGAATTGCCCAGATCAGATTTCAGTCAATGAAAATGGTGGAAAGAAATATAACTGACTATCGACAGCTGTTTTATTTTGTTCCTAATTATGTCATATATTAATATTATGAAATCAGGATATAAGGTTTTAAATGTTTTGCACAGGAATATCATCAATTATTGCCACTGAAGTTTGACTCCACAAAATTGTTATAAAATCATATTTAAAGGGACAGTACCATTTCTTAAATTACGTTACTTCCTATTTCACCAGATCCAAACTGACAATTTTTTTTATGCCTTTAAATGTCATCATATTGAAATAGGGACACCTTTTTGAAAAATTTTTGCTGACTGACGATAGCGTCTTCTGTCCCCACTCATGCGACGCTGTCACGTATCCACCCTCTTATTTTAAAATATATTTCCATTGAGATAAAAATGACGACTGTTTTTTTTCTCCTCCAGGTCTATCCAACGAACAGGTGTTGCAGTTTGTTGTATCAAAGGGCAAACTAGAGCGACCCTCGGAATGCCCTGATCTCTTATACGAGATCATGGATGCTTGTTGGTGCTGGCGGCCCAATGATCGCCCTACCTTCATCGACATTGTTGAAAGACTGGAAGACCACGTAGGTCAAGATTTTAAACTAGTGTCATTTGTTCACAGCCGTGAAGGACTAGAACATAAAATGAATCATGGCAGGGAACGTTCGTACAACCCTCCTGCGCTAGGTATGGGCGCTGAGGAGCACGACCTGTACGGGGGACATTACAATGTATCAGATGAGGAAGTTAGTTTATACGTTGGTGATTCTTCTAACCGTCCAAGATTTTTGCCAGCATCGATTAGCCAAAGACTTAGTAGGTTTTCCCCTAGTGATATATATTAGGCCAAAGTTATATTTTCTGTATAAATTATTGCTAATAAACTAGTAGTTAAGTAAGTACTGTAAATGAATTGAGTTAGGGCAAGGAGTGTGCGTTATCAAATCTAGATGAAAGTAAGGAAGGTTACCTCTCACCACTTAGAAATTAGAGGTTTTTTTTTCTGAAATTTCAGTTAATCTCGCTGGGTACCATGAAGCTCGATGAAAATAAATATCGGTACTTATTTGAAGCAGGGAAATTCACTTTCGTTCATTTATGCAAAATTACCGAGAACATAATTTTTTTTGCTGCTTACTACATTTGCACCAATCAGAGTCTAGAAAAATTGAAAATAACGTGTTTGGAAAGGGTGTATGTGGTAAGTTTCATGAACAAAATCTAAGAACATTTTATAAGCTCAAAAATGCAGTTCCTTCTTTAATGATACTTTTTGGTAAAAATATTACAACAAATTTTTATACCGCATTAATATAGAAATAAAAAATACAAATTATAAACTAATGGAATTGTTTTCATCACTTCATACTGCCGATTTCAAAGCAAAGAATTCCAAAATGTCTAAACAATGTCAAACATTGCCAAACTTTTCGATAATACTTTTGATATATATTTTCATGTGTAAAGTTTATGAACTTATACAAAATATAACTAATTTAATTGTGAATCCTCCGTTTGCACAAATATCTGAGCCCTATAACATAAGTAGAAAATCCTAAGAAATTTAAACAGTTTGGACTCACAAAAACATACATTTTGCATCAAAATAAAAGCACTATTAAAGACGAACCTCAATTACAATCTTTGTTTTCTAGTTACTGTTTTATCATCCTGTAACAACATTTAAGATAGATAGAAATAAATAAAATACACGTGTAAGAGGAGACAAGTTTTTTCCATGAAATTTGAAACAATAGGTGTGCAATTTGTTTTGATTCACATAATTTTCTCCGTACTGATCGAGATAGGTGTGATTCACTGTATTTTGACCTTGACCCCTTCAACTCTTTTGTTTTTAGAGTTATAAAAACGTGAAATACAAAATTTGCTCAATTTTGTATGCATTATGGAGAAGAATTCATATAATATTTCAATTTTCTTCTTCTGTGTAACGCATGTTAATTGAATAGTAATACAAACTGTCAAACAATAAAAATGTCATGACATTACCTGCCACTATCACGGCCTACCTTATAACATTGTCCATGAGTAATTAGGCCTCCCACGGCCTAATTAGTGTGATATAGTTAAAATACCTATACGTATTTTGGACCCTATCAATGTCCGATATGTCAAAATAAATTACAACTAAATCTGTATATCCTTAAGTAACTGGAAAAAAGCAGAAACATCTGAAAGAGGTCTAGCAATTACAAGATATCTTATTTTCTTAATAAAAAACCTTCTATTCGTTTTTTAATAGTATCTCGCTTATTGTTAGAGATAGACCCAACAAACCCGATATGATTATGCTCGACAGGGAACGTTTCATCCAAATATGTAAACATATGCAGGGTGTTCCATTTAAATTAACAAAGTTAACATCTGCGGCCATTTTGTTTGGACTTCATTTGTTTTTCTACTATCATTTTCGAAAACTTAATAAAAAAATGGTGCGTCTTTTGTATTTCACATTTTTTTATAACTCTAAAAACAAAAAAAAGTTAATAGGAGGGTCAAAATATAGTGAATTACTCTGTAACATGGTTAGATTTAAGCGTGCATAAAAATTTAATCAACACATAACTGTAAAAAATCAGTGAAATAGGGCACAATTATTTAATTCTCTTCCTGTACAAACCTCGCTTAAATTTGTATAGTTTCTGTGAATACACCGACATACAGGCCATTAGAAGGTGGGCGAGCATCGAAAGCTTTCCCCGGATGGTTATCCAAGTACTAATCGCAATCAGCGTTGCTTGACTTTTCATATCAAAGACATGAATGCTAAATCGCTAGTCCACACTCGCCCTAACTTCCAGAAATATGGAATGATATTGATGAAGAGATTATGTCTGGTTTTGAGTATGAGTCATCGAAATGAAACCATTATTAAAAGTACTGACTGATATCCTCTTTTTTTCACTGATTTTTGTTTATAAACTGCGATGCTCTACTTTAACTGTTATCTCAATTAATAACGTAGATGATAAAGTAATGAAAAAAATAAATTATTTAGTAAATATTCACTATTTTAGCTCTTATATCCGCAGAATATTTCAAATTTCATTCGAGAAATGTATTTCTTCTTGCACCTAAAATTGAAATTTCAGTAAAAAAATATGTATCTAATTTTGTTACTAAGGAATAAACTCATTTTTAAGGTGTGTTAATTTTGAGTGAAATGTATTATATGTTTTAGAGTTAACTTAGTTAAACATATAATGGATATTCACAATTATGAGAACTGATATTTCTAAAAACATACTAGGTAATTTGTAATATTCCTACCAACTTGTTTAAATCAGCAAATAGTTAGATTGCTGGTATTTATTTTGATTTCAAAAGAATCCAGTTATAAATGGTTTCCTTAAATAGTAATAAAAATAAATAATTATTTGTTTCGAGATTTTTGGAAGAAAAATAAATTAACACTTTGTTGATAACATTAAACAAAGGAAAAAATACAGTTATATATAATAAAAAGAGTAAAAGCTGTACACGCACTTGCGAAAAAATATAAGCCTCAAATTTGGAGCACCAATTTATATAAAATCACACAGAGCTTTTGCAAATCAAAAAATATATTTTTTTATTTTGATGATTTGCTAAGCACATACTGAAGCAGAAAGCAAAGCAACGATGAAAGTGGCGAGCAACGTCGTAAAAACAGATGGTAGAGTAAAGCGAAGGATACAAATTCAATTTTTCTGTTTTTGGTGAAAAATTATTAATAAAAACGAATTTAGAAAATATGATTATATTACACCACCACAACCCCTTTGTTTTGGATAAAAAATATAAAAGATATGAATAAAATCTTTTTTAAATACATTCAAAAATTTTTTTAAAAAATCTTATCAAATAAAGTCACACATTGTCTTTTGATATCAAAATATACCAAATGAACTTTGAGTCATTTGATAAGATTGTTAGAATAAATTTTTGAATTAATTTGAATTAGCTTAATAACTTTAAAATAAAGTAAAAATAAATCAATATTTTGGGAGTGTCTCACAACAAATACAGCTTGAAAGATTAAAGTATTTGACTAGGAACTCCTCAATATGTGTAGTTGCCTACTTATCGTCTCATTGCTTCAACATGTGCTTAGATTATATGAAAAAATTTAAGCTCAATTTCAATATCATACCTAAATCTAAATTTTAAAATTATTTGGAAACACTACACTGTCTATGAAATCGTTTTTGTCTCAGCTTAAAGTTGAGATTTGATCAAATTGGCCACCGGTATTACAAACTTAGTTACGCTGGTAGCCGGTAGCATTGACACTCTTTACTAAATCGTGCCAGCACCCTAGCCTCTCGCGTTATTTTGCACGTAAGCTGGTGCTTCACCTTCAGTTTGGTGAAGTATCAGCTTGAGCCTATTTGCTTGCACCTCCTTTAAATAGCATGGTATAGTACGGAATTAAAAGGCCTCACTGTTTTGTGCCAATACTAAAAGTACTACTGGCTTATATCTCCGAATTGGCCCAATTTGGTGAAACCTTACTTTAAAAATGAAAATATCTACTAAAGTACCGAACTTCTTCTGAACTCGATGATACCACATCCATTTTTGCTAATTTTTGTATTTCTGTACAATAAACAGTTTACCATTTAATTACTCTAGTCCGTAGAATAATTGAAATGACAGATTATAAATTTTACAACAATGTTGAAACGATTAACCTTACCTACCAACAGATCTTAGGTGTTCGATGTTACTTGTTAATTGTATTAACTAAATGTGATATATAACATTAGTCATTAGATTAAACATTAAGTTTTTATAATTATATGAATAGTACAGTAGTGTAAGGTAATGAGTAGCTGTTTTTTGTCTTGAAAATCATTTTTAAGTTTGTTACCTTAAGCGGGACCAAATGCTAAAACTTCTGTGCTGAATTACTTTACACTAACTATTTTTCACAAGACTGCCCCTCAAGTGTTTTTAACTGATCTTGAACTTTATATTGAATTTATTGGAATTCGTTTTGTTTAATTTAGCAGACCATTTCTGTATAGAATTATGCGACAATTTTGGGTTAGGAGTATGCACAGAATTAAAGGAAAAAAAAATAAATAATGAAAAGCCACATGCTAAATTATAGGTATATACCAAAATTCAATGATCTGCAAATGTATACAGGGTGCAACAAAAATGAACTTGAAGGACTATAGGACTATAGGACTCAGAAAAATAATAGGGGTAAGCGATATATATTTCATGAATGCAATACTCTGTGATAAATTAAATTATTTTTGTTTGTATACCGTGAGTAACTCAAGAAATGGAACACATTACAAAAAATGGAAGGAATACTTTTTTCTTCCATATCAAATAAATAAAGTAAAAACTATGTAATTTTTTGTTACTTCAAGAGAATAGAAGTTCTACTGAAAAAAAGTGAATTGAAATTTTTTTTGGAGCTTCGATCTCTTAAATTTAGAATTTTAGAAAAACATTGGTTTACTCTAATTATTTTTGTGAGTTCTATGTATCCTCGAAGTTTGTTGGTTCATTTTTGTTAAACTGAGGTATGCTGTTAAGAAAAACATTTATTTTTTTGCAAAGATTCTTGCAAGTCAAAGAATCACAATAAAATAAATGTTTTAAGCCATACACTGCCAATAAAAAATTTTAATACATATTTAGAAAAGTTGTAATTTTTACCTCTACACTGCCTTTCCTAGAGAGAAAAGTTTTACTTCTATATACAGGGTCTTATATTTAAAATAAGCATTTCAGGTATATTATTGCAGATCTTTGTATGAGTCATTAAAAAGTAAAAAAAAAACATTTTATGCTCTTTTCTAAAAATCGTGTTCATGGTGTTTTATTCAAAATTAGAAAGATTAGACTAGTTCTGGTATTACCAGTAAAATATATTATTTTTAATACTTGCTGTAACAATTTTTTTTTATTTCATGTGGTTGCTCAAATTCTTCTAACCTGAAGTTGTTACATCAGACCCTGTAATAAATAGACCAGCGCTAATGGGTTTTTCATTTCAGTGTTTTAGTAGCGAGAATCTAGAATTTTCATAAGTATGTAGAAAAAATATCTGTATATCACTAATTACTTTTAATCGAAACATATGTCTGTCTGTGGGCAAATAAATTAAAAAAAGAACAAAGAAATAACTGAATCAGGTGCTCCTTCCTTTTAAATGGGTACCTATTTATCTTTTGTTGCAATCATTACTCGTAATATGTTTTGATTTTGTCACTGCCACAGTTCTGACAATAAAACGGGTTATAAGGTTTTTTACAATATTTTTTTTATTGAAGTCTGACTTGTTCTTTTAGTATATAAGGTTAATATTTTTTGTTTATAATATACAGTACACTTCAGCCCATGTATATATTTTAATATGATAGCAATGTCACGATTTCATATATTAACAGCAATATTTTTATGGGTTGTAATATGCAGACGTGTAACATTTTTGTTGCTTTTATTGAAATTAAAAGGTAGGTATTTATTTTTATTGTAATTTTTTAAATTAAATTTTTATCCATGGACTGAATATATATTTTTTAAAAACATAGGGGGATTTTAAATAGGTTCTTTATTAGTAGAAATTTTAAATGTATGTATATTATTATATTTAGTTATAGTTTTGTTATTGTTTAGTAGTATTAGTATTTTTTACTTTTCTAAGTATTCATATATTTGTTTGTGTCTTTATTTTCCTGTAATAAATGATTTGTAATTCCATGTATACTGTAAAAATATTGTTGAAAAGTGCCTTAACGTATATCTATGTCCTTTAATTTTAATAAAAAAATATTATTAAGTACACAGTGTTTAATAAGTTCGTACATCCATCATTTTTTATGAAAAAAACGAGAATAATAACAGTCATATTTAAGTAAAACATAAATGCTTTTCAATTTTACATGTACCTACCAATAAAACTCATTGCAAAATATCAGGATAATAGGTAATTGTTGTAGATATATCTAACTATATAATAACTGTGCATTTCATTTTTGTAAAAACAAATATACCATAAAAAATGGAGGAGGGAATGATGAAAATAGTACAGCAGGTATTTATTAACAGTCCAGTTGAAGAACCCATTAGTTCAAGTATTACATAGATAATATATAATTTTGGTTAAATTAACTTTCTTAAATAACAATAAAGAAGTACCACATAGTTTAATATTCATACTTTTATAACAATTTGTAACGTAAATAGATATGCTCCGCAAATGAAATATTTTGTGGTAATTATATTTTGCACTGCAAATCATTTTTATAAATCTCACGGAACACAATATGAGGGAATGGATGTGGAGTGTTTTTGTGTTTGCATTCAATAGTGAAGTAGAGGGCTAAATCTGTTAAATGGTAAATGGTAATTAAACAGTTAATAATGTACAACAGAAGACAAGGCTCTATATATTATTTGGTAAAATATAGGGAATGTCAATTACTACTAAGTTTTAGATTATTTATTGTATAAACATATTTCAAAAGTAATAGGTTGCTTTAATGGGGAACTACATTCTGAAATTGGTTAAATTAACATGTGCCTTTGATTAGGCAACATTTAAGGATTAATCTTTGCATTAGCAATACACATTTTTTATTTGGTTGGCAGACAGGGTGTTGCACATATATTTTTTTAATTTTAAAGTTAGAATTCTGTTTGCTGATACAGATATATTTTTACAATCAAATATTTCTTCAAAAAAATGTAAATATTTCCAATAAATAACCCAAAATCTTCACTTATTATAACCACACTTTGTTAAGGATCTATCTCTGCTTCCATTCTTGAGGTGGATCTAAGACATAATATTTTCATACTTGGTGACCTATTTTCAACAAAAAGTGGGTAAAAACTCTACCATAACTTGTGAAGTGATCCTGAAGAATGATATTCTGAGAAAAAATAAGTCCAAATAACTTTTTTCTCGAAGCGGTAATGCATAGAGACATCCATATAAGCATATCAGGCAGCATTGTCAGAGACAAAATTAAGTTTTATAGCCCAGATTGATATAAAAAAAATAAATTGACTTTTGATGTATTATTAATGCAACAGTCCCTATTACGGTATATTCCCTATTACTTTCAGGAAAACCTAAATATTATAAACATAACAGAAGAATGTCGTGTGGAATAAAATATTTATACAACGTTAAATGTGATATGTAAATATTTATAGGTACCTAATGACTTGCACCTTAAGATAATAAGTTTGTAATGCTATACTGTATGTACCTATAATGTCTGAAAAAATTCCTAACAAAATATGTCTATAAAATGCAATGATACTATATTTTGTAAATGTATGATAATAAATTTCATTTTGTAAAAATATAACTTTCATTTAGTTGGGTAGGTACTTACATCGTTGTCCAAGATATCAAAGACCAAACTGACAGAAAGTATCATACAGGGTGTTTGATATTTCAGAAACTATCACTTTGTAATTGTACAATTTTGATTTTATTCTTCAATTGTGCATAAGGACGACATTTAGACATTTCACAAGGACAGTTTCTTCTCAATCTTATGGTTGTAAATAAATACATCTTAGTAAACTTGAGTGCTGCCTTACTTATATTGAGTTAATTATTTTCTGAACAAATCTTCAATTGCCCTTTTAAGCCGTTAGTTTTTGTACAAATTACTGAAGAAATATTTATTGTTATAGATTCATATTTGTTTTCAAGTTTCCTTCTTTGAATTTAACGGTAGGTATCGGTGGTTTCAACTTCATTTGTTCCTGAATGATAATATACCCTAAAAATACTTACTCTACATGGGGTTTTGGATTTGATATGAAACATTAGTGTCAATATTTTATGATGAGGGCAGTGGGTAGGTCAACATTATTTAATATATTATACAAAAACAAGCCATATATAAAGTTGTTTACATTAAATTAAATTTAATTTAAACAATCACTAAACAAGTAAAATAATGAATTATTTTGAACGTTTTAAAAGATGAATCATTAAAAGAAATAGCTACTTCTCTTCTACAATCTTTCTTAAGTTACTTTGTAACATGTGCTATAAACTGAAAATTATCTTTTTAAAGGCGTTCATTCATTTAGCGGTATTTCAAATGAAGGGTCATACTGACTAAAAGCTTCAGAGATCTTTTTTGGTGGTGGTAGATGTTCAGGAATTGTCCAGAAGATGGCGTCGTCATAGTGGAATTGCGACGAAATTCGACTGGTCTTTTTCCATTTTAATATAAACCCTGAAAAAGAACCTGATTTCAATACAAAAAATAACAGACACCCTTAAGACACTTGCTGTAAATTAAATCTTAAATAAATTATTTCGGTTAGAGTAGCATTTACATAATAATGTTGCTGTCTAATGTATAGTTCTCATTTATTATAGTTATACTACCTACGTGTATTAAATATTTGATGGTAAAAAATGGTAACCACTGAATGATTAATAAAACAGTCGTACCTAGAAAATGTTTGTCAAATATGTTAGAATCCAAGAAAGATACTGAAAAAGTTGTACAAGAATTAGCAAATAATGTTGATAATTCTGATGATACTAAAGCTATTTTTTATTTATTAGATAAACTATAAGCATAAATGTTATTAATGAACCATTTACTTAAACGACTCTCCATGTGACGTTCACGGGAATATTATATGCCCTTTGTATCGTGAATTATGCCGAGACTCAAGAATATTGGAATAAATGGTGAATGATGACTGATTGTTTCAAGTATGTATATACTCGTACTTTTTTAAAAATATTAGAAGCATATTTTAGTACCAATAAGGTGAATTTGATTTGTGAATGATTCAGTTTGGTTTACAAACATTTGCAAAAACTTCAATTTATAGTGACAAACCTGGATCTACAGTTATTTATTCTGCATATAAGCAATTTGCCTTAGTAACTATCCAAATTTTTTAACATAAAATTTTTAAATGCACTGCCAAAGTTTTTTTTTAGAAATAGCATATATCTTTTATTCAAACAATAAAAACTAAAATAATCTTATTAGCTGAAGTTATTTGACATGTTTCACTTTTTCCTTTTGTAGAGCATTATTTAATATATACCGTTTACATTTTTTTATACAAAAAAGTAAGTTGCTGTCCCACATCGTGATATTATTCCATAAATTTTCCCTAGCTTATAGAGAAAAGTAAGTATACTCTTAGGTACCCTTATCTCAAATATTTGCTCCCATAATTGCTTGTGCCAAGCGCATATGTTTTGAGGACCAAACTTAAACTGAAATTCACTTGGGGCTGTTAATGGCCCTAAAATTCGTCTCGGGGGCATAAATAACTCTTTATGAATTACGCTTACGTGTACGGTTTGTTCACATAAATCGATAAGGGGAACTAGATACCTAGATACTTAAAGCGAACCAATCTGTCATTGAAATTTGCTGTTGTCAGTTACTTGAGGAAACTAAACACTAACTTTAAATAATTAAGTATTTAGTAAAATATTTTTTGCTAAATCAATATTTTGACAAATATAATGACATATTCTAGTGTTTCTGAAATAAAATTGCCTTCATTCAAAAATGATGAGTGAAAATAAACAAATTTTATGAAGAATCCTGTAGTCCAAATTGTCAAAATGAATCAAGAATTATTGCACAAAACTTTGGCCGACCCTGCATCGTCCTTCTTTTTCAACTGATGTTATTGCAGCTTAGTCCACTTTCCAAATAATATTTTTTCTATTTGGATGCCAATGTCCTAACTGCTCAGTATCGAAATGAAATTGGTATCATTCATTAATATTTCTATTAGTTTTATAATGTAATTTTTGTCACATCACAAAGTTGAGTTCAGTTACAAATTACGTTGGAAAAAAATTCTAGTTCCTATTACGACGATGGCAGTGTAGATGTTAACGCATGTGTTTTAAATGTCAATAACTCTGGCTCTTGTCTCTAGCCTCTATCTGAATTTGGAGTCTCGACTCTCCACTGTGGCCATACTCTAAAGTGGTATGAAATCGGCACTGTAAAAAAATCGGTGTGAGTGAAAGCAATAAAGGTTCGAAGTGAATCCATTTAGTAAAATTATTGAGTACATTTTCACTCAATATTGGGCAGTTTGATCATTTTACTCATTTGTGATTATATTTAAACTAAAACTGAGTACTTTCACTCATATATAGGTACTGCTTAAATAAATTCTTCACGTAAACTCGTATTTGGTGCACTTGTACCTAAATCACAGTAGATGCCCTCATTACTGAGTGCATTTAAATGTATATCAATTTCGAGTAATTTGAATGGCACCATTTACATATTCCTTCTGTAATCTCGACCACAGTTGATAGAGGCCCGTTAGAAGTTTCAGAGAAGCGTGATCGCCAGGAGAACAGGCCTTAGCCTGCGGCGGCGGGTCTCAGCTGACGGGTCTCAGCCAGGACAGAATACAAGTATTCAATTTTCAATATGTTAATTTAGAAAGAATAAATACTTAACCAATTTCCTTCAATAAATGACATTGATTAACGGATTTTCAAGATGCAGAAGTGATTTCGTTGTAATTTAAAGGTAATAAAACAAATATGTCATATGCTACGTACTTGCTATTTATTGGTGTTAAATATATTTTGCTTCACACAATTTAAAGGGTGCAAGTTATGTCCTTTCATTTGTTTCACAGCTCTAATTATTGGAGTAAATGGGATTTTTCCCTTCGGACCATTTCAGTCTAATTATATAAATAAAATTACTGACCACGTAAATTTCTCATTAACCATTTTAATTGATATAATCGTCAGTACAGAGGGCTGCTATGATATATTTTATTAATAAAATAGTGTTTAGGAAAGTGAAATAACCGATTCAATAATTTTAATTCGGAGCTAATGGATTTATTCGCCTAGGGCATTATTTCTTGATGGGTTGTATGTTATGCAAAGTGGAAATATATTTCGAGCCAGCTGGATTAAATTTGGAAATAAGGAAAATTCAATACTTAATAGTAAATTAATTTTAAAAGGGAATTATAATTTTTTTTGAGATATGAATTTTACAATAAAAACTTTACCAAAACATTCCGTAACATGATATCCCCTTCATCTCTTTTATACAGAGTGTAATATTGAATGGAAGTCTTGTGTATAATGGAGGCTACCTTTGATCTTCAGAAACATATAAAATATTCGCCGTCGGGTCGTGAATACTGATTTGTTTTGACCTTTTTTTTGTCTTAGTCATTTTCATATTCCGTTTCTGGATGTGATCTTAAACAACGGCGGGAGTCAGCATGCACAATTGGAAACTGGGTTATGCATTGTTATCAAATCTTATAATTTGTCGAAAAGGTTACTAAAGAACAAATTTGCACACTATCCGCCATGAAATACTGCTTTTTGGCACGTTACTTTCATTGATTGGGTGTTCGCCAGAAGCCCTATCATCCCAAATAAACAAAAATAACAAGTAATCAGAAAAATCAAATAGGAATAGTAATAAATAAATAATGATAAATACTACACAAGAATAAGTAAACAATCTGTTTACTCACCTGATTTTTACGGCATATGACATACTTTCAAATACTACGACCAATATTCGCCAATTGCTTTTTATATACAGGGTGATTTCACTTTAAATATAGAAACTGCATTAGAAGAGATTCATTACCAAAAAGTAAGTAGACTTTGCTGTATAAACTTTTTTCCTGGGGGACGGTATTCGAGATGCAGGGTGTTAAAATTTATGAAAAACTATCCATATATTTTTTTGGTAATGAATATATTCCTGCAGTCTCTTTATTTAAAGTAAAATCATCCTGTATAATCTTGAACTAAATAAAACATCTTCACTTTAACAAATAATGAACCTTGACGGAAGAAAAACTGTTCAATTCAAGTTATTAACAACTTAATATACAAACATATGCAGATAAATGTACTCTTAAATGAAGAATTTTTTTCCCGTTACTTCCGTACTTGCTATAGAAATAGCTAACATTAAATTTATTTGACTTAATGGTGCAAAATCATTCGCCGTGCATGCTTTCCAACTAATCTAACCAACAAGTACCGTGATTTTTTTGTTTTCGCTCCTGATGTGCAGACTGAGTATCGATAATGGCGGATGATTAAATTTTTCATCACCCTTCAATCTCCATTGGGCGCCGTCGTCGAAAAAGCGATTCGCGCGAAGTGGGTGAGCCGCCGACCATGTCAATATTAATCCTGAAAAGTCACCGGCTTATTATTAATGGGCTAATTATTGGGTGAGAAATTATTTAAAATGATTTTAAAGTATGCTATACGATATTAATGCCTAGAACAAAACATTTTTCTATTCTCTTCGTGGTATAGGTTTTACTCATATTCATTTGGGTATACAAATACAGGGTGATGGTACATTCACGTTGCAAAGTACGATTGAATCGATTATTGTACAATGTACAGTCATTTTGAGAAATAGTTATTTATATCATAAAGGATAAGTATTTTTTACCAGTCGAGGACGATTTTGCGCCCGAGCGGAGCTAGGGCTGGCAATAGAGTCCAAGACTGGTAAACTATACTTAACTGCTGCGTCGTGTATAACATTTTATCTACTCACACAGTTCTTTATGGTTCATGAAATGAAGATTAGCAGAACAAAAATACTGATGTTTCTGAAATACCACTGCTAGCATATTTCATGGAGAAGTAAAGAACTTTAAAGTCACCGGCGAGTTTGTGGAGTGAATACTCAATGATTAAGTCAACTATTTTCATAGAGGAGAACGTGGAAGTATCAAAATACCCCAAGCTGAGAGCATTTTTGAAACTTAAGAGTGACGGCTATAAACCTAAAAAGTCAAATGTTTTTACAAGAGAACAAGACAACGATTTTCTCGTTCAGACACCCGATAACACATATTTGCTAATGAAGGTAGTGACGGTCTTAGGCATTGCAGAAGCATGCCGTTCTGATGTGTTATGCAAACTTACTTTCGACAACGTAAATTTCAAAAATTTCGATGACATTGTAGTTACAATTCCAGATTCTAAAAATTCTACAATTACTTCTCGTCTGGGTTCTGTTTCTCACCCAGAAATTCTCAAGAAATATATCAAGATTAGATTGGAAATTAAAACAGAAATATCATGCCTTTTTATGCGCTATCAAGCGGGTAGATGTTACCACCAACCAGTCGTCAAGAATACCCTCTCTATGATTCCTAATAAGATTGCATAGTTTTTGAAACTAGAACATCCTGAAACATATACAGGCCATTCATTCCGAAGACCATCGGCAACGTTACTGGCTAATACAGGAATTGATGTATTAGCAATCAAGAGACATGTTGGTTGGAAATCAGCCACAAGTTATGTTGCTGACAGTTTAAGTATCAGCCACAATTGCAGAAAGTTATGTTGCAGAAAAATTAATTAACGAAAATGAATTACCCAACAGGATTCTTTACAATGACACTTCAATTACAGATTCTAGTAGTACGTCGCATCATGCTGTTTTAATGGATTAGTCAGATAATATTGAATTTCCGGTGACTGAAATGGAGCGGTCAAATCATTTTCAAAAAAATGTGACAATTAGTAAACAAGAGAGGAATATTCACTCATAATAATTAATAAAATGTATAAAATATGCATTTATAACTCGAAATCGCTTTTTTCCCTAGGGAGGTAAGTTACCTCACTTACCACCCGTTGTCCATAGCAACTTCCACTTCTACGGTAAAATCACTTACCTCCTTAAAAGCAAGCTATTAGTAGTCTATTTACTATAGTGGGAGCAGATAAAATGTAAACCACATTTTATTTTGATGTAGTTTCATTGTCCAGATAAAAGAAATCAAATCAATAAATACGATATAGTATTGATAATACGTTTATCACAAAATTTTTGGTTTAAAGGTACCTACTTCTGTTCTAAAGGTCATTATTGGAATACAGTTGAAACAGTAGTTTTTACTGTGCTTTCAAGTTTCTTACTTCTAACAGTAATTTCTTTATATACCTCTGGCAATAGGTACATTTGGTAATTATGGTGGTGGTGGTAAATTGATGTAACAGTTTAATATTTTTCCAAATCAGTCTAAAAATGGCCGAAATAAATATATCTACAGAAATTGAAGAAAATATCCTTATTCTTGAGCCAATATATTTAGTTCTCGCAGAATTAATAATATTGGTTGATATTAACTTATTTCCGGTATAGTCCTGATTTAGTTGTCCTCGAAATTTCAAATTATTTGACAATGCACACGGTGCTTTGTGGTGTTGAATAATTTGTAAGCAAATGTTTTTTTATGAAAAGTTTTGGAAGTGGTCATCATTTCCTGTAACAGTTATATTGGGTTGGGAATTAAGTAATTCAGTCCCATTAATTCAGTCATTATCCCTTTTTATTATCAAAAGAATAACTTTTTGAACACGAAAAGAGTAAACACAGAACTTACCTGAAATCAAAGCCTGTTCGATTGTAACTTTTTCCTACATATATAATATCTAGTTATAGATAATGGCGTCGTAGTTTCTACCTTTACGAATAATTAAACTTTACGTTTTACACGTATTTGCATGCAACCGAGCAGCATTTAGCAGCCTAAATTACAGTGTTTATAGTTCAGTTCTTTTTTCCCGTATTCTCATTAGTGACACTAATTACAGCATGTTTATAATTAATTGTAATGCATTTTATTACTCTTTATTACGTTTTCCAGTTTTACTTTGCGTGAAGCTATATTTGCAGAAGGATGGATCTATTTTTTATCTACTTGTTAAATTAATGTCAATTAACAATAAATTATAAGATCAGTATTAACATCATTTTTAAATACACGAGTATATTATTTCAAAGCAGAATACGGGCTGTCTTATTTAATAAGGATTATTCCATAGAGAGTATGCCAAGTAGATTAACAAGCAAAACTCATTCAGGTTATTATAGAGTGCTCTTATTCTATTCACGGATACAGTCCGTACGATATTTGTTGAAATAGAATTGAAAGAAAAGAATAAGCCAATAAAGTTCTGTTATTGAAACTACTGTAACAATTTACCGCGGCTGGGGTATGCCTTGAAATTTTCTGCCAATGTTTTTCTATCTCGGGTGTCAATATGCTGTTATTTCCAAGAAAGTAGTTTCCTTGGAATTCTATCTCAACAAATATCGTAAGGACTGTAACTTTTTTTAAATTAAACTTTAATAACTGATTTTTCACATACTTCAAATGTAACTACTTGGATTTGATTTATTTGATTTCACGTTAACTTTCTTGATAGCCTAGCCGCGAATTTTTAGTTTTAGAAATAAACAAAAAATACTATTGGTTATTTCGTTTCTATTTATATGCGAACCACTTATACTAATAACGTTTAATCTCGTTTTAGACCTAAATAGTAGAAAGTTGAGAAAATCTGATTAGCTAAGGTGATAATTAGATTGTAACTGATGCCGGGCTCTCGTGTTGACATAGCAGATACCTAATCTCTCATCTTACGATGTTCCCGTCTAGAGTGACTTCAAAAAGACATCTGGTACAACAAGAAAACAAACAGGTAATTTTAATATTTTAAATGCATGCAATATAAAGCAAGTGGATAAGTAATTATTATTTAGGTATATTTACCTATTTTTAATAGAACGGAGAAATAATGTCAGATATTAATTAATTACAAACTAATAACCGAGGCTAGTGTTTGATGCATATTTAACTGAGATATGCGACAGCCCAAATTATTTGTTTTTAAATTGTGACTAACGATATGTGGGAGAATGAAATCGATATTTTTGATCACTTTTCTTATTGCAAGACATTTAGTGCTTCCATACAAGTTTCGTAAGTAGCAATATTATTGCTTTAAGACCCTAATTTTAGTTAATTATGAGAAGTAAAACTTATATTGGTTCAGTCTAGACTAGACAACAAATTTGGGTAATATGACTTTTGATACGAATTTCCTACAGTCCAGTTAGTAAGTACATTTGTGAAATGTTGGGTAATTAAGGAAAATGTCCATTATCTGATTTAAGTATTACAAAGAATCTCAATACGTTTTTAATTACCTATACTACAACAAGAATAATAATTTTAAGAAGAAATATTTGATTTTATCAGGAAATGGAATGGATTCTTGGCATGGCCTAGGTTGATTGAATCTGTGTAGTGTACTCGATTTGCATGAATTAAAAAAATCCAGAAGTTATGCCAATATTCTTTCAGTATCCAAGGAATTGAATGAAATGAAATCCGAAACGCTACGAGATTCTTTACGTGATAAAAATCAAATTTCTATGCTTATATGAATTTTCATTTCAAAGCGGACATGGGTACGAACAATTTCAAACCTCAAAAGTGAATTTAAAAGTTTTAGTTGTAACTGACATAATGATAAAAAGTTTAATAAGCTTAATGTGTGATTTCATCTTTAGATAAATTTTTTATCGCCTATTTTTTGCCCTCTTTTTGACCTTTTGCTATGTTTGATGACGTGTATGTTTAAAAAATATAGTGTATCCGCAATTTGACTTAAGGATTCAAAATAGATCACAGATCCGAAAGACCAAAAATTACACCAGCAACTCGAAAATAGTCCATTTTCAAATAAAATGGAAAATATGATTTTTATAATTTATAAGCCCGTTTCGTCATTCTACATTAAAGTCTTCAGAAACATTATGGAATTTTTTTTTTTAATTTCAGCATCTTGAAAGGGAAATATTTCCTTCATAAGATTTTTTTATTATTTTAAACCTGACCCACTCATTTTAAAACATGCTATATACTTATCGAAGTGCACTCAAAGGTACATCCATAAAGCTTCCCCAAGTGATGGCATATTAGAAAATAAATCAACCGTAAATAAGTCTCTCCAAGCTAACTTTATCGTTAAAAGAGTCCTAGGTCCTTCTCGAATCTTGTAAATCGTAGATTCATGTCCGAAAAGACAAGAGAAACTAGTACATTATCTTATTTCGGATTATTTATCTCACTTAATCGTTCCTAATAATTGCGCAAATATATAGGGTGTCGTATTAAAAAACAGTTTGGTATATACGTTCGAGAGGCAAGTCAATGGTTTTTAAAATTGTTGTTTCCGCTTCCTCTTTACGTAATGATCTATAACACCTTGTTTAATAACTAATAAATGGTGGACACTGAAACTTTAGGTAATATGTGAAGTCTATTTATAATGTCATTATCTGATTATTCATTTTCCTTTTTTAAACAATCGTGAATATTTAAAACGCTGACATTCAACAAGTAAATCTTTACTTTTAAATTCTAAATTTGTTTAATCAACAACCGGTTCTACTAATTCGATATTGCTTGGCGGTATTTCGTTTTGTTTCGTTTCAAAAGGTCTTCAAAGTTTATGTTGTAATAATATTAGTAAACAAAATATCCCTCTTATTTCTCCCTTTCGCAATTCTAATATGAATGAATAGAAGGTGCCTATAATAAATTAAAATTACCTGAATCGCACCAAACTCCGCATTGTTGCACTGCATTGCTAGGCAATTTGTCGACAACTGAAACTTATGGCCGGTCGCCCAGTACGGCTGTGTGTGTGCCGCGTTTGCCCGCGCGCGCATTCTTCAACTGGCCGACTAGACCTGTATATAGGTATGGCTAAATAAATATGGGAACAAGTTTTTCAAATATTTCAGTGCCGAGTTGTTGCGTAGCGACGGAACCTGGTACATACTACCTAGCTTGTTGGTCTACAATTGGGATCGGAAAGACTATACTTACAGGTTAATCCAAAGTATTGCTTTTATAGGTTACATCTCCCCATACTTCCTTTATCATTAAATATTTTTCCTGCAAACATTGTTAGAAGTGTTCTTATTCGACAACTTTAGTCTTTTTTGGATTGAGGATTCGGGACCAAATTTATATTGTCAGTTATTCTATATTATTCCGCAAATATTTTATTAGTATTAAATAAATATACCAGCAGCATTAAAGTTAGGCAAATCATTTGCTTTTACATCTCTAAAGTAGACTTTCAATGTCGGCGGCAGGCGGCAGCGACTGCAACAGACGGCAACGTCATTTGCTGAGGGAATAAAACTGGCGGGTTTTTTCCCTTTTCCCTAATTTTATTTGCTACAGCACATAACCTTACCGTCTCCTGCTGTCGCCTACCTTATACCGCCGATATCGGAAATGTACCTTTAGGTTTGGTCGCGACTAAGAGCAAACTTGCTTTCTGAAACTTCTTCAAACACTTATGATAGCAAGTAGTTTGCTTTCATTTTCTAATCGGTTGTAGATACAGTTTTATATTGCATGTGTGTCTTGTTATAATCACAACAGATATACAAAAAAGCTTAAATTTGTGAGTTGCGCTTTAGTGTTTATCTTTTTATTTATTGTATCTTATATATATCTCTTATATATTTATTGTATCTTATATATTGTATCTTTATCATACGCACATGCACACAAATATTCTTAAAAGTTCAATGCACAATGTTTACCATCGGCTTGCGTACGCCCGCTTTATTCTTATCAATGTAAAAAAATTACTAATTTCATTCTGTGGAAATTAACCCTACTGATGTGTTCGTACAGGTGCCACGTACAATTTATTGGTGTGCCGCTTGTATAACTTTGGCAATTAAAGACGTGCTTTCGAACATATCGATATACAACATCCACACGATACGTCATTTATTTTACATTTGACAAACATTTGTCAAGTAACCGCATCATCTGGAGCTGACTTGAAAAGAAATTTATATAACAAATTTCTAAGAAATTTACCATCACTATTGCTCATTTTTCCCGTTCATTGCTCCTCGATATTTGAAACAAAACATGCATATTCTAATAAAATTATTGTAAATGTAATTTTAGATAATGTAAAATGACTGATGTCACTAATTGCATTACCGCTGGCATTAATATCTGCAGATGCATTAGTTACCTAATGCGCTTGCATTAGGATTATAATTGTCATCGATCCCAAAATTCAATTAAGCCATCCATCTGTAAGTGAAACCACCATTACAAGTCATTTACTAAATGATTGCATACCTACTAGAACACTTTATTTCGTTAAAGTTGTAAGGTAGTAGAAATACATTCGTTTTTAGGAAACCTACCATACAACTATCTTATTAACAAATGTGCGAAATTGTTGTTTTAAATGAACTAACATGTACAGGGTACATCATCTTAAGGAATGATTGGTAATACAGTGGTTGATTTTATTCTTAGAACCCAATAATATATGTGAATTCATAAATATTTGAACATGATTCTCATAATCGTTGGTTACCACAGCAATAAGTAGTATAACAACACCTACCACGTTTCATTGAGAACTAGTAAGAATTATCAAGTCGTGTGAATATTTTTTTATTAAATTCCAATAATTCTGACTCCACAAATATGATTGTGATGTGATTACGGATAAAACGTTGTATTGCATTCGTGTTTTAATTGCGTTTAAACATTCTTGCGAGGATAAAATGCTGCTTGTGCAATAAATAACTATTATTATCCATCAGTTTCTTATTTGTTTATTTTTATAGCTGAGAAATTCGAGAGATGTCGCAGAGATGATTTCGATCTAGATACCTGCTTGAAATTGACAATTCAAAATGCTTTGACACTGATAGGTAATAAAGGTAAGGACTGAATATGTAAGCAAATTAGAATAATAGGTATTAGTTGAATTGTGACAGTGGAAATAACAACAAATATGTATAGAGAGTACATCTGCTTAGAAATTGGTGGTGAACCTTTTGAATACAGTTGAATCTGGGAATATAAAATATCGTTAATGTATTCCTAGGTAAAAGGAGTTCAAAAAGAACAATAGACAGCAATTCGCTTTGTCTTCAAAAGGTGTTTTCGTTTATCATACATTGTAACATTTGACAAGTGATAACATTTTTAGTTTTTTAATTATTCTATATATTGTTAAATATATAAATATTCTATTGAAATTAAATTCATTGATAAGAAAGTGATTAGTTAGCGTATTAGATTAAGAAAGTCATATTTCATACTTTTTGGTCTATATAGGATATAAAAAATGTCACATTCGTTGGAGCTGAACCGCGACGTCAAACGAAAGATTGTCTTAATGTAGGTATGCATTTTAAATCGCATAGCAGCAAATTATCTCTAGGCTCTATCTGAATTTAACACTTTGATGTTACTCTATGGCTTCTTCATAAGCTTGCTGTTTAGCATTTGCGCAGCCATAGTAGTATGATGAGACAAGGACATAGCAGTTGCTGTTACTACACAATAGTCATACCTTGAGACTTCTTTACATACTGAATTACGGACACATTCTGTGGATACGTAGAAGTTTTTATATTGGCGCATTTTTTCATTTTATAGGAATATCTTCTCTAGACTTGCCTTCCATAGATCCTTTAGAGGTTACAAGAGTGGAAATAGGAGCCGGAAATAGCGCAGTGAAGCTCGTACAAAAGTACTTTAACATACAACTTCTAGGATTTTCAACCAGTGTTGTGGAAAACGCTCAGTAAGAAGAACCTGTATTGATTAATTTGAGTTTAAAATATTGATCACCCTAAAAGGTAGAACTTTTTAGCTGAAGCTTTCTTCGTTTAGAGCATATTTGTACATATAAAATTAACAAATCAACAACCTGGGTATTCTTAAAACAGTTGAATAAATGCAACTGTGAATGAGGAACTGCAACCTATATTTTTTATCATGGTGTAACTCTTGATCGGGAAAGTAAAACAGTTTTCTTCTTAGTTTAAAAACAGTTTAAAATAACATTTTCTTTCTCCTACTTTAGTTTGGTATTTACATAAAAGTAATTCAATTTTTAGAATAGATTTGACTAAAACTTGTCAACATTATTCTAACTTTTATTTTTTTTACAACGATAAAAGTGGCATAATAAAAAATTAAAAGAACTCGATACATATTAATCGAACTTGATTTTTAAATGTTTAAAAGTTTGTTTTAGATAATGAATGAAATGTTGTTTTAGTTTAGATCTGGACAAAAAGGTATTAACCTTTGCTATTCATTTGCCTAAGTTAGAACAAAAGGCCAAATATGAGATAGATGGCAAAGTAATGCTTATGCCAATGTTTGGAAAGGGCGACTCACTTATTCAATTATGTAAGTATTTGACATGCAATGTTTCAGTAATGGGACACTGCTCTATATGGGAAACTCAAATCAATATAGGACGGTTGGAATTTTGGCAATATTTCCGGAACCATTTCACCAATTAGGTTGATTCAAATTGTGCTTAATAACTAGGTACGTTGTACTTCAATCAATAAGTAATTATTTTTATTTAAAGCAAGTGTTCATTATTTTGTGGTTATATAAAGGATAAAATCGTTTAGGTTAAATTTGCTCCACCTTTAAAGCGTAACTAGTATTCCGTACCAACCTAAGAAACAGATCTAATGAATTTTTTAATTTGGTTGGTGGAATGGTTAAAAAAATTATTGAAACATATTTGATCCAAGCACCTAATTTTGATCTTAATCTCCTATTAAGCTGCGCCCCAATTAATTACACTCTATCTAAAACAGTAATAAAAACAGTATCTAGTATCTAAGCTGCATATCTTGATCATTTATACATTTGAAATATCATCTTGCTTGTTACTGAACAAGATTATTCCTTAACATTTTGAAACATGTCGATAAACTTAACAGAGAATGACACTTTTTATACTAAAGGCTTTTCAACTTTACTATAAACAACTAAATAAATGCCGAAATGACGATAAAAAAAATGAGGAAAAAAATGATTTACTGGACCAATCATATTACGCTTGGACTTTGCCTTGACTTGCAATAATTAAACACTTCAATAAAATGCCACTTGTTTGCATTGTTACATAAATAATTATTTATCCAATTTATTGATAGTTCCATCAGCATAGGCGTGTTTCTTGTAATATATCCATAATTTTACTTTTCGATAATATATTTCAGCAATCGATCTTTTTGATTCCAGTTGACGTAACCTTAACTCACGTGCTCACCTTTGAGGAGGAAACCAAACACGGCAAATCACATTTTAAAGTAAAATCGTATAAACTATCCGTAAATCCCAATGGAGCACACTATCATTTTGACAACCTCTTTAATGGTGACAAGCAGTTAGCGGACAATATTTTAAAAGTTCTAAACGATAATTGGAAAGAGATATTTGTCGATGTTAAAGAAGGACTGGAGATGACGTACGCTGAAGTTTTCAGACTTATAGCCAATAGACTATTTAATTACGTTCCCGTTCATGAGATATTCCTGACTTAAGGTTATGGTCACAATAACTGTTGAACAGTGATGATGGTAACTGCAATGTATCTATTTTATTAAAGAATTAATGTACCAAATGCATTTACCAATATACCTACATTCCGGTGAAAGTGAACAATTTCTATTGAGTGAGATCTAATAAGAATATTTAATAAAATTAGTTAACATGTCAAGAATATCAAGATTACAAGGACTTTAAAAAGACTCGGAATATTTTTGAAGTACCTTAACTGTTGGGTATTTGTTTTAAGAAATTTGAGTAATCAAATGACACCAAACAAAAAGTCAAGGGGATTACACTCTGGAACATCTTCCCCCTTACACAAATCAACCTGTAGGGATATCTTTTATTATCGATCTTACCTACCAGTAATTCTGAAATATGTTGGTGCATCATCATGCGTAAATCTTCGATAATTTTCTTCGCTTAATATGGTTAAGGTAGAAAATAATTCCGTATGTACGTATGTATGTCGGGGGGGTGGTGGAAAATTTATTACTACACGGGTGGCTTGGTGGCAAAGTCTCGTACAATTTTTATGTATGATAGCATGATCTTGAGTTACAGAGATTTATTGCTCTATTCTCATTACCATTTTATCGGGGACCACACGCAGGCAGAAGATGTTGAGCGACCCTTGTATCTGCCTTAGGTCACCCATCCAAGTTCCAGCCTGCGTCCGTGATGCTTACCTAGGCCGATCGAAATCCATCGGCCAACACTCCCGGCTAGGCGGTCCCCACAAAATAATTCCGTATTAGGAGATCATTAACAATATCAGCCCATAAATACACACTCAACATCTGTTAATGTCAGCAGCCTCCTGTAAAGCTACTCTCATTTTTTTTCCGATTCATAATTAGTAGATAATGCTCAAATACATAAACACAAATATTTTGGTTCAATTCTGACTTATCGTTGTTGAATAATCAAAAAAATACACTTTTTTATATAGCTTGGAAGATGTGCTATGTATAATCGACCATTTCTATTTTTACTATCAGCTTTGCTGAGATATTCTGTATAAAAATATGTTTTTTAATAAGTTATGATGTAGGAAACTTTGATAATTAAAGAATTCATCACTTGCAATCTATTATGCAAATGTGCGTAGTGTGTAATTATTTACTTAATAGTAATTATAAATCGCACTTTAGTAAGAAAGGAGAACTATGTACATGCATTTAAAGGCAACATGGCACAGGCAAAATAGCTAGTTTGTATTAAACACCCAAACAAATCTGAGCAAATGAATTTAATAATTTTAGTTGTCAGTCTTATTTTAGTGCCACTGTTAATTTCATACAAATTTCGTAAGTACTGTTATTTTGTGTACATCAATATTTGGGAAATAAATCTTTTAAGGTTTCTCTATGGTTTCTCTATGGTTCTCTAAGGTTTCTAAGTATCTCTATGCACTGTGCATTTCAAAGTAACCACTTTTACTTTAACAGACCAGATTAATTTCATAGCGCCATTAAATAATTTTTATTTAAAAAAATGTGTTTTGTATCACAATTTATATACCTTCTAATATGAATTTTAAAAATATATTATGTTATGCTCAGATATAAGAGGAAAAATAAGTTGTTATTGCATATAATTATTTAACACCCTGTATCCTATTCACCATGCTAACACGTTTATCGTGCAAATCCACACTATTTTTTTCTAGAATCGTGACTAAATTATATGAAAATTCAGCATTTGTATTGCGATTTTTTACAACTGTGAAATTATTACCAACAAGTTGTAGGTTTTCTTAAATTTTCAAACAATATTGTATGAAAATTTAATACAATTTGTTCCTGTCACGATTTTAAGAGCGATTGTGTGCATTTTAGTGGCAGTGTTTTTTTTTGTGTACCATGAGAAAAGAGTGCAAGTGCTTCTGTACCAAGATTTTTAAAGAGTAATTTTTTGCAACTGATACGCTAATAAAACAAAATAGATCAATTTTTTATAAGACCTATTTTGTTATCTGATGAGGCAACATAGTGTATGTATAGTTATCTCATTGTTAGTTAATTGGAAGGACATATCATATTTGAAACTTAATTTCTTACTACAATTATGTGCCACTAAAAGACTTATTAATAAAAAGTAAATTAAATTCTATTACTGCTATTAAAGTAGGTAGAGAAAATTAAAAAGTATGAGCCATAATTAGCTGTTAATATATTTTTTTTATATTTAATGAGCAATTATCAGTCACAAGGTTATTCTCGTCTCCTTTACAAATATCTATGTATCTACCTAACATATAAGATGAATAAATGAAAAATTTGCGTTATTATCAGTATCATTTCAGATTAGTGCAAGCATAATACTCGTAGATTATAATATATTTATGAAAACAAGTCTTTCACTAATAAAAATATTTTTATAGCAAACGCATTTATTGTAACGTATTCTTTACTTTTATTCTAATTTTTTGATAATGGATTGTTATGTTATGAGACTTCCCCAATATTTTAAAATTTTACAACATAAACACACACGTGCCTCATTACTATTTCATTCGAAAATATAATTAAGTTTCTTAGATTAGCGATCGATATTTTATTTTAGCTGAACAGTTTGAGAGGTGCCACCGAAATGATCCCGATTTAGACAATTGTTTGAAAGTAACAATTCAAAATGCTTTGAAACTAATAGGAAACCAAGGTATGTAAGTGTAAATATTAGTATAAATTTTCACGGACTAGGTATTTAAAACTGTTCTGTTTAACCTCAATATCATAGCAACATAAATACATAACAATGAAAAGCATTTGTTATTATGCATTTATTTTGTCACACAAACAGTCTATTTTTATTTTAAGATATTCGATACAATTAATTGTAAGATAAACGGTTATAAAAATTAAAAGGTACCTATTGGTAAATTGAATACGATTTCAAATAATATAACTTTTCTATTGTCCAAAAATGTTCAACTCGCAACTTTAAGACATAATAACTCACAGGTTGAGCCCGAAAAACAAAATTTATATAAACTTGTAACGTTATTTTTGCAAGACCTACCTATTCGAGAGATTGTCCACCATTTTCTAGACAATAACATGCTTATTAAAATAAGTATAAAACAAATTAAATTAATATATAATACTTAAACAATGTTAAGGATCTGTTTATACAATAATTATTGTAACTAGAATACACCGAAAACATGTTATGAAAATCCACTATAGCAAAAATTGGTCAAACTAAAAATTGTGACAAGCTTACGTTGTACAAAAGTTCGACAGAGAGTGTGTCCTGATACCCATTTTTTTTATAAAGTTTACGTTAGCTCTTGTGGTTTTAACATTTTTTTTTTTGTTTGAACTAAACTAGTATTCATTATACAAATAATTTCAAGGAGCTGGAGTTTGTTGCTGAACAATAACTGTGGGTTACTTTACATTTTTATTTTTTAGGAATCTCCTCTCTAAACATGCCTTCCATAGATCCTTTAGATATTATAAGCGTGGAAATAGGTGCCGGAACCAGCGCAGTGATGCTTGTACAAAAATACTTTGATATACAGCTTCTAGGATTTTCAAACTCGGTTTTGGAAAAAGCTCAGTAAGGAAAAACTACATTTATTAATTTTAATTTAAACGATTTACTCGGTAACTATTGGTCACTACACGTTTAATTAATGCCATGTCAAATTTACTGCGTAGTTGTCATCAACGTCGTTTACAATTTTGATATGTTTCCCAGCTAAATAGTAAAAAATAAATTTGAAACTGAAGAACAAGCGTCTGAGTATTAGTGTATATTATCGCCGACCAAAGCAAAAAAGCCATTTTTAATTCTGATACTAAAACTAATGTATGTAAATTGAATGTGAACCACAATACTAAAAAACTATTAAGTAATGAAGTAATAATGTCGGGTATTATCTGAATCGACCAGGACCAATTGTTGGGGCCCAAATAGGCCTTTCAGGTTGACTGTTTGTTGATAGCAAAGGAAACTCACCAAAATCTGATGCAATTGAATTTCTTTCATGTCGAGGGTAAAAGGGAAAAGATAAAAGGAAATGAGTTCGACAAATCACTATTTGTGATTCACTTAAAGGAGTTAATCACACATAGTTATTAATTTTGAAGGAGCGTATAGCTAAATATCTAAAAATAAAGAATAAAAAACTTGCCACAAAGCGGGTGGCCGAACGCCAGCAGATCGATGAAAAATCTCACTCATATACCGGGCATATTTGAGTCCATGGCCTTTTCGTTCTCGAGACATACATCCTTTAGATTCTCTGTTTATTGAAATATTAATTAAAAAATTGGTGTGTTGAATGACTCAAGCTGTGACATAGACAAAAATAAGTCATTTTTATAAATGTGCATGCTATGTCATGTGAAAATATGTCTGTCGTCCCTTCTCACACTAAATCAGTTCTCATCTCGTTCTTATTTTTTATTAACCCTCAATATTTATCTAATTTTATTTATTTTTTTTTGTGAAGAATGGTTTAATATAACAACATATATAACAGTCTTTAAAGTAATTTATAAGCTTGTAAACACCTGATATATTGATTAAATGTAATTTCTCAAAGATTTTTAAATAATGTGATCATTATTACAGCTTAGATTTGGACAAAAAAGTGTTAACATTTACTATGTTTATATCCAAGGTACAACAAAAGGCTAAATATGAATTGGATGGCAAAATATTACTTTTGCCTATTTTTGGAAAAGGCGACTCTCTTCTCACATTTGGTAAGTATTCATAATATTCGATCTATTCAAACAAAAATTCTAACAGAGAAGAAAAAAGAAAAAATGATTTTACAAGTTTTTCTTTTTCTAGGGGCGAATATATTATGTTCGTCTATAAAGAATGGTTTTCTTAACTAAAACATTAAACTTGCACAACTATTTGCTTGACTAAAAATAATTAATAGAGTTGAAAATCGTTTTTTTTTTTCACTGAGTAAAAGACTCAAGGCAGTTTTCATTTTCCAAAGGTTTAGAATACGATATATACAGAGCGTATTTAAATAAAGGCTAATACGACTACAAATTTGGTTTTTCCCGCAAAAGAGAATCTTGAAAATGTCGTTCCGTTTTTGATCCAGAAAAAAATAAAACAAAAATCAAAATGTTTAGTTTTTCATCGATAATTTGTAATTTGTCCGTAACTATCAATATGTTGCCTGTCAGTTAAGATGTTAAATTACACAACTCTGCTCAAATTTTGATCTACCTAGTATTTTGTAAAATAACAGATTCCAAAGGTTCAGATCAAAAAATGGATACCGACTTGGCTGGCAAGTATATGTAGGTATCTAAATATCACACTCATGATCTCATTGAATTTAAATATTTTTTAGCTAACTATTAAAAAACAAATGTAGCAAAAATATTGTATTTATGCAAAAAACACTGCGTGTTGTCGCGTAGGAAATTTTTTCGCTTGTCGAAAACACTTACTTTTTACATTAATAATATAAATAACTAATCTTAACACAAAAACTAAATAAAAAGTTAATTACACAATATTATTAACAATATATTTATTAAGCATATATTTTTCCGACAATTTTACATTTTCTGGATGGCGTATTAACAAAAAACCTTTTTAATTCCAGATGATATGACCATAGAGAATACTATTGCCTTTGAGGAGGAAACCAGAAACGACAAGTCATTTTTCAAGATAGAATCGTATAAAATATCTGTAAATATAAAGAAAGCACACTACTATTTTGGCAACCTTTTTAATGGTGATAAGCAGCTAGCGGACAATATTCTAAAAGTTTTAAATGACAATTCGAAAGAGATATTTTACGATATTAAGAGTGGTTTGGACCTCTCTTACGCCGAAGTTTTCAAGCTTGTAGCCAATCGACTATTTAATGACGTTCCTGTTAATGAAATATTCTTAACTTAAGTAGAAATGACTATTATTAAATGTAAAGATGTATAAATAAAATGTAGTTAACACCAAAAATTAACATATTGATAGTTAAGCGCACTTCCTACCTTAGAGCATATACTACAAGGAGGAAGCACGTTTACGGCGACAGTGTAGACGAGTGACAGAGAGAGATTGAGGTAGTTTGGGTACTGTCTTTCTCTCTCGCGCAGCACGTGATTAGCTAACGCAACTCCTTTCTTAACGATTAGAGCGAGACTGAGCGAGTACCCAAACTATCACCTTTTCTGTCTACAGCGTCTACACTTTTTGTGCTTCCATGTAGTATATGCTCTAATCTTTCTATTATCCCATCTTCCTATTTATTTAAGATATTAAGTTTGTTAACAGTAACAACCAACACCAGTTTGTTACCGATGTTGATTTTGAGAACTTTGTTGTAACTTACAAAAAACTAAATATTTCTAAGATTCTTCTCCAAAACATGTATGTGGAACACTACAATATAATGATACAATAATGTATAATAATGTACATAGCACACTATGTAAAAGTATAGTTAATCAAAATATAAAATACAAATTAAATTTGAAGCATATTCAACTGTGCACTGTTTGCAGCATTATTTAAAGCGACTAATTTTTAAAAACTATTAGACAGGACGAAGTTTAAAAATCCTTATGTTTTTGATAAGAAAACCGTTTTCTTCCGTTTTATGAAGACTGTATTATCATATATTCTGAACACCAAATATGAGGCATTTCTGGACACATGTTTGTTGGAATATTTTTCTTCTTTTTTAAAAGCTTTTAAACTCCGTAATTCAGAATACACTACAACGCTATTCCGAAATATGGTAAAAAATAGAACATATTTATGATGCGAAACTTTGACAGGTAGATGTTACAACAAACCAGTCGGCATGAATACCCTTTTCATGATTCCTAATAAGATTGCACAGTTTTTGAAACTAGAACATCCTGAAACATATACAGGCCATTCATTCCGAAGGACATCGTCAACGTTATTGGCTATTACAGGAGCTGATGTATTAGCAATCAAGAGACATGGTGGGTGGAAATCAGCCACAATTGCAGAAAGTTACTTTGCCTACAGTTTAAGTAACAAAAATGGAATAGCCAACAGGCTTCTTTACAATGACACTTCAACTCCAGATTCTAGTAGTACGTCGCATCATGCTGTTTTAATGGATCAGTTAGATAATATTGAGCGTCCGGTGACTGAAATGGAGCAGTCATATCATTTTGAGAAAAATGTGACAATTAGTAAACGCGAGGGGAATAATTATCCAGATTATATAAATGTTACTAAATGTAATAACTGTACAATTACTATAAATATTTATTCATAATATTTAATAAACTGTAATGTTATCAAATATTTCTATTTATTTGTTCACAAAATATGCATTTATATCTCGAAATAGCTTTTTTACCTAGGGAGGTAAGTTACCTCACTTACCTCCCGTTGTCCATAGCAACTTCCACTTCTACGGTAAAATCCACTTACCTCCTTAAAAACAATGTATTAATAGCCTATTTACTATAGTGGGGCATATAAATAATATTTTTTATCCAATTCTATGGAAAATTCTAATTAACTAAAAAAAATCTATCACATTCATTATTATTGGTTATGTAAATAGGTAAACTTAATTTAGTTATACTGATCATTAATTGAATTAAATAGCTCTTTACAGAAATAACCTAAGTACCTGTATTTAAAAGTAATGTGTAAGAGAGAAATCGGCTAGTTTGATTTAAACTGTACAGCAAAATAGATGTAAAATAATGAAATCATTTTTCATTGTTGTTATTTTAGTGCCTTTGGTACTTTCGTACACATTTCGTAAGTATTATTTTCTCTAAATTAATTAAACGTTATCTTTGGAAAAAAAAATGTTTTATGTTTAGGACTCTTTGGCAATAATTACCTTGTTTTAAATCGGCCTTAAATGATACGTACATTATTTTGATTAATATACTGAACTATCAATAATATTAACATCACCATTTAAGCAGATGCCAGATACGTTATGGTTAAAATTATTATCCTTCCGATTATAAAAATATAAGTTCCGACTGTACTGTATTTGAATATAGACGGTGTGAAGAGTTTAAATGATGTTATTCTAAAGGGCCCCACATACTTCGTTCCATTCGCGCGAATCAAGAATATACAGAATCTAAAGGGCTCCATGCACAGACTTCGTTCAATTCGCGCGAAATGTTCCACACGGACTTGCACGAACGCGCCAAACACTCAGTGTGCTGAGAAAAAAACGGTACGGTTTCATCAGATCTGTTTTTTGTCGTACGTTTTTGGTTCGTACGATTTGGTCCGTGTGGTCCTGTTCGCACGATTGGAACGAAGTCTGTGCGGCCCAATTCGCGCAAATTGAACGAAGTCCTTATGTAATGTATGTATATTAATATTATTAATTTTAAAATCATTTACTTATTATTACTTACGTAATAGAAACTAATAATACGTTAGAATTATAAATGCAAGGAACAAATTAATATTGAAAATTGTTCATTTCATTTTCGTTAACCTGTTTATTTTTTACTATAGGCTCATTTATTAGAAAACAGAGTATCGCAATTATTTAAATCACTCTTTCAAATAATTAAAAAAATAGTCATTAAATGTGATGAAGTAGGTAATCAAAGAAATTAATGAATTTATAAACGATCGGAATAACTAAGGCAGAGGAAAATGAAGGTTTAATTATCGAACGGCAAATTACATAATTAGATATATGAAAGGTATGCATTTTTTTTATATTGCTGGTACCATTTTCAAGGAAAACTGACAAACTTAGGGTCACCACGAGAGTATTACAATTTAAGTGGAAGCGGCATTTATCTCAAATAAATTGAACTTCGCCTTTTGCTTTACACTTTTATTTATATTATTATTATCATTATATCAATATACCTACGACTAAAGTCGATTATTATTATTATTAACTTCAATTTTGTTATCCTTGAAAATATAGGAAAACTAAAAAATGACCGATGATGATGATTAATAATTTCCAGCTGAAAATTTCAAAAGATGCCACAGGAATGAGATTGATCTGGATAATTGTTTAAAAACAACCATTCAAAACGCACTGCAACTAATTGGGATGACAGGTAATAAATAATTCAATATTTAGTCGTGATAATTTTATGCTGGCCTTTAATTATTGATAATTAATGGCCAAGGCCAATTAAATTAATTAATTTATCATCTTGTCAATATTTCTTTGAAGAGAGCCAAAATTATAAATCGGAACAATTAGACACTACTTAGAATGAGTTAGCAGTTCAGTTATTATTGGCCATTTAAATATTTGTGTAATTTTTATTGATTCCATCGCTTAACTTACCTCCTATAGATCCATTAAAAGCTGCTAAATTGGAAGTAAAAGCTGATACAAGTACTTTGCATGTCGTACAGAAATATTTTGATATGAACATTTTTGGATTCTCAAATTCCACAGTAGAAAATGCTCAGTAAGTTCAGTTCTTTTAGTACTATACTGTAACCTGAGGGGTTATTTCTTTATTTAACCATCTACCGTTATGGCCAATATCATAACGATATTAATTTGCAAAAGCGTTTACCGTTTACTTCTGTAAAGGGAGTTTATAATTATCATCTACACTTTAATTAATACGTGGGAACTTCTCATGTAGCATGTATTGTTCAAAATAAATACAATTTTTGTTAAAAATTCATGCAAAACTAGCTTCCATAATTTTTTAAAAATTTCTATATTTTCTGTACCTAGATTCGTAGCAATAAATTTTTTAATGTTTAAATTTTTAATTTCAGTTTATTTAAAGAATTTAAAGCCATTGAAATTCCAATATCGTTACAAATTTTAATTAGAAAAACCAAAATATTGAAGAATCATTCAATTAGTTGTTAATAGGTATTACCTTTTCTGAATGGAGGGAAACAAAGTTTTGTATAAACTGTTTGAACAAATACGTTTACTTAGGATTTTCTTTCTTGATATATCGTATATCAATGAAGCACTCACATTTGTACGAGTTTCTCTCGTTCATTTACGATGTTATTTAATTTTGGAAAAACACTTTACGCCCTGTATATTTCGCCCTCTTTAATGTGATGTATTTTGTAGAAAATAATGTGTTTCAGTTTTGACACAGACAAAAATATTTTAACATTTACCATATATGTGCCGAAAATATATCAAAAGGCTAAGTATGACATAAACGGCAAAATAATGGATTTCTCCATTTTTGGAAATGGTGATTCAATTTTGACGCTATGTAAGTATTAAACACAGTAAGTACGAGATATAGAGATCACCAAACTTCTGCAACGAGTTGTTTGATCAAAACTGAAAAGTTTGTATCTTTAATGCAACTGTAAAACTCCTACAGGGTTAAAATTAATATCAAATAAGTCAAAACCAAATTAACAAACTACTATATACAACTGTATTGACATTTGAAAGACTCTACAAAAACATCCATTCATTTATTATTTTTATTTTGCTTTTTATTACAAAATATTTTTAAATTCATAACCTTTTTTCTATGAACTCTCTTAGTTAGCATGTTCTAAACATATTTTTTATTTTCAGTTAATTCAACATTAACACATACTATCAAATTCCAGGAGGATACCAAGGACAATAAATCTTATTTCATTATAACATCTTATAATCTTTCAGTAATTACTAGCAAAATCCATTTTTACTATGACAACTTATTTAATAGTGACAAGCAGTTATCGGAAAAAATTCATAAAATTTTAAACGAGAACTGGAAAGGGGCATTTGGTGACGTTAAAGAAGGAGTGCAAACTGCATACGCACATATTTTCAAGAACGTAGCCATTGGACTGTTTAATAGAGTTCCAGTTGAGGAAATATTTTTAAATTAAGGATAAGTTATAGTGTTAATATGGGACTATAACAATATACAACTGTAAACTGTACTGTGTTTTTAATTAAAAAGTTAATCAACTATATAAATTAGGACTGAGGCAAATGTACATGTCATAAGTGTTAATAAACAGAAAAAATTGTGATTAATTAAATGCGATTACCTTCGATATATCTTCCGGTGGTTGAAAATTTATTTTTAAAATTCAATTTAAAAAAATCACTTTAGGCAACGAATAGATTCGGTTTAATTTATATTTTTATTGAATCTAATAATAGGACAAGAAGTATAAAAATAATAAAAACTATAGTGTTTACGAATTTGGAGATTTACTTTACTTACTTTTAATATGGGCTCTTAGTGATCCGAGGAAAAACCAACTGAAGTTATGACATGGACTTAGAAAAGGCCGTATACCAATTTTTAGCCCTGTAAAGGGTGTCTTAGAAATAGGTGCTAAATTTTTACCACGTATTTAACTTATAGGAACAACAACTTTTGTCTAATATATTTTTTTTCAAATTTACATTTTTTTACAGTGTTTTGTACCTGTATTAAAATAACTCTAACGAGCTATCTAATTAACTTATGCAAGTGTTTTACGGAATGATTCTCTATCTCAAAACAGCGGCAGGTAAAAAAATTATATGCACAAAACCCAAAAAATTATGAGAGAAAATGAAAACAATTAAATTCAAACAATAAATTTCTAATTGAATTTGTATTGAAACTAGATAAACTTTGAATCATGTTTAAAAGTTAAGACTCTTAATAAGAAATAACTAAATAAATAAATAAATAAATAATTTGAGGAAAGCTGAAACCCAGCATCATCTTCAAAATTTTGGGAAATAATATCATTATCTAGAACAGCCTGACCGCAAAAAACTAAAATTAACTGGTATGTAAAAAAAATGCGAATTTGATAATACCGAGAAGAAAGACACGTAGACACTCATTAATGTATTCATAAAATAAAAAAAGAACTTATGTAATAAAATTAGAAATTTATGTACTACAAAACTTTATAATTAGGTTTCCTTTACCCATCTGTGCAGGGACGATGTTGGATGAGGTTTTATTGGCCATAAAGTTGATAATTTCATTAGCCTTCAAACCTGTCACCATAAAAAATATTAAGTATGCTAATAAATTATTTATTCCCAGGTGATTAACGGCCAGTATTGAAGCTCTGGCGGTCTAAAGCGGGAGTTTTCTGGTAGCCGTCATTAATTTCTTTCATCCCGAATAGTTGCTCTGATATTTAATGGGTTTTAAGGCTAATGTTAATTAGAAAACATTCTGTGATACAGAATGATAATTACATCTCAGAGGAAATTGTACCACTTGGGCGTAGAACACGAGAGTATGTAAAAAGCAAATTAGGTAACAAGTTACATATATATAAAAAAAAACTTTTCAGTGACCCCATTGTACAATTATTTAAACGTATAAAATATACTTAAAAATAAAATATATAAATATAAATTGCAATTAATAACTATTATTTTTCTCCCGGGGCGACGGCCAATAAAACCATTACAATTTTGCGCAATTTATTTCAATTACGTGCTTTTTTAAAACTATACATAAATAATACACTGACATATTAATGATTGTGTTTAAAAATGCCAACATTTTTCCACAATTCCTATAGTCTACATTTTTTTGCAATTTTCGTTTAAAATAATTAAGAATTTTAATAACAGTAGAATTAAAAATTAATTCCTTCAAGTTGGCAATTAAATTTCGGTGAAATTAAAAACTTTTTTTTAAACTGATGAACGACCCTATAGTCTGTTTGGAAATGAAAGAGAGTAATAAAACCCCGAGATAAGAACCGGCCATGGGCGTGCTAATATTTCGTTTCAGGTAATTATCGGGTAACACTAATGCTAACAGGTAATGGGTGTACATTAGTATATTTTACTGGATACATCATAGGGCAGGAGCCAGTGTATTGTGACAGATCAATCTAGTCTTAGAGCTGCATATACGAAGACGTGCTAGTGCAGTAGAGTAAAATTCGACTTGTGTTTAGTGACTAAAGTACACTCATTTTATTTTAAAAAAGAAATACCAACGCTAAACAAAATTTTAAGTGAACTTTTAGAGGACCACGATTTGCCACTTAAGATCAATTAGAAAATTCCGTGACGAAGGGAGGAATATTTATTATCTAGACGAAATTTGGGTCAACGAGGGATATACTGTAACAAAAGTATGGCAAGATAAAAATGTAAAAAGTTTTCGACAAGCATTTTTGGATGGACTTTCAACAGGGTTCAAGGCACCTTCAGGTAAAGGGCGAAGATTAATAGTGACACATATAGGTAGTGCCAGTGGTTTTGTAGATGGCGGTTTACTTTTATTTGAATCTAAAAATACAGGTGACTATCACGAAGACATGAACGCAGATGTTTTCGAAGAGTATTTTACACAGATGTTGGATCTTATTCCTCCGGGGTCTGTAATTGTCATGGATAATGCCAGTTACCATTCACGGCAGACCGAGCGGACGCCTACGACTGCTTGGAGGAAAGCCGATATAATTCAATGGTTATCCGGAAAAAACATTTCTTTTGAAACAAATATGGTGAAAAAGGAACTTTTGACACTTGTCAATCTTAATAAAGATCAGAAAAAATATGTTATCGATGAAATGGCAACAAATCGCCAAATAACGGTACTACGGTTACCACCTTATCACTGTGAACTTAACCCAATCGAATTAGTCTGGGCGCAGGTAAAAGGAGATGTAGCGCGAAATAATACGACGTTTAAATTAAGTGACGTGAAAATTTTGTTAAAAAATTCCTTGGAACGAGTAACTGCAGATAACTGGCAAAGATGTATACATCATGTACAAAAAGAAGAGGAGAAAATGTGGGAACTCGATAATTTAATTGACGTTACTGTGGAACCTATCGTTATCAATCTAGGAGACGAAGATAATTCATCAGAATATTCAGAGGATGAATTTTAATATACCTACTTTTTTATTTTCTTTATTGTACATTTATACAACACTACATTTACTCACCATAATTTGAATTTTCAAAATACATATATTTTTGTGTGGAATAAAAGTCTATTCATTAAATTTAAATAAATATTTTGATAATAATATTGAATAATTTTATTTGAATTACTAAAAACCCTCTTAACCCGGTTATGATGCTTAAAGTAGCCTCATGTTTTGAAATGCTGTTTTTATATTGTTTACTTATAAGAGAAATGGACCGAGAAATTGAAGCGGCATAGACAAAGACGGATTGTCGGGGATTAAATTTTAGCTACCTGCTACAGTTTAGTACAGTCCGATCGCACAAAGTTTTGTTAAAAGTAGACCTCATCTATACTGAAAATGCATAATATAAAAATATTGAATATAAGCACCAGTACTACATTTATTTACGATTTGCATACATAATGAGCTTTTATTACTCTCTTTCATTTCTAAACAGACTATAGCTGTTGCACTAGGTGTTGCGAGTATAATTCAATGCCGTTAGGGGCATATAGCTTTTACTTACTAAGACTCCACCTTATTTATACAACAAGATTATATTCCGCAGTGATGTGCATAATATCAATATTTTATCCAAAGGTTTACTCAACCCTTCTCAACATAAAACGTCTTTATTTGAGAGAAGTTTTAGATATATGTAAATATATGTACTGGTTGTATAACGGCGTCACACTCGGTGAAGGATATTTTAGTTATGCAAAATTCAAAAGATTCGTTAGGACAATGTTATTTTCTTAGGTATGTTACTTATTTAATGCTGCTATTGTTATTACTGTTGTAATTTACCTGTATATGTTTACTGTACTATGGTACTATTTACCTGTATATGTTTACTGTACTATGTATATTAGATATATGGTATCCAAAGGTTAAGCGGTAGAGCACACTTCCCCTTGAGATTTCCAAAATTGTGGATAACCTTTTTATTTTTTTGTGCTAAACGACTTTTACTTTTCTTTTGGAAATAAAGACATTATTATTATTATTACTTAATATCTCGGAAGCTGATAAATTGTTGGTTGTAGATCAAAAAATTGTTTTGATTTACATTCATACAATGGATTTTCAACATTTCTCTACCCCTCTTCTGAAACTGGGTCCACTAATAGGTTGTTTATCTACTATTATTCATTTAAATAATTGTGAAATATTATTCATCTTTATAGATTACACTATTGTGAATATATCGTTTTATAAATTTCACCTTACAACATAAGCCATATCTTACCTGTAATAAATCCAGAGACTGTGGCGAAGGCGAGCGTTACCAGAAGGGAAATTATTTGATATCCGGCTTGCTGACCGGCGCTTCGTCCCACCCCTGGATTAATGTGATAGTCCGGGGTTGGTGCCGCAGTAGGACTTGCTCGTGCTGGGTACATCTCGTACAGGCTCTTATTGTAGGTAGCTTCGGTGGCGAGAGCCGCCATGATCACGCTGACGATGGCCCCGAAGACGCCCGGCATGCCGTGTAGGTTGTGGATGCCACAAGTGTCGGGCAAGTTGAAGGACTTTTCCAGAATTGGCTGAAATATAAGCTCATGTTACAATTTGCTATTGCTATTTGCTAAATCCATGTTGCATGGTCTGTCTACAGAGCGTTTTTGAAATAAGCTGAAAAGTATAAAAAAGGGCATGAAAATGGGCAACTTTTATTGAGCAATTGATGGTTTAATTGTCAACCTTGTGCATCTTGTGCACGTGCACGGCAAGAATGCTTCGGACTCGCTATATGCGTGAAGCGCTTCTCTAATTGGCTGACGATCCACGTGAGTTCCACAAACAAGCAAATCTGGTGGTAGGTCAGTATGTATTGTGTTCTTTAGATGTGTGTTGTAGTATTACTTAGTCGGCGTATAAAATGTTTTTTTGTCAAGAATTAGCAGATATGGTGTTAATGTACGAAGAATGTCAGTGCAATGACTGTAATAGACAATAACCTAACAGTAGAACAGTACAAAAGGCAGTTCAAAGGTTACACAATACTGGGAATGTCCGCCTGACATGTGAGGGTTGTGGACAGGAAAGGCCGCAACATGTTTTTGCCAACGAAGAAAACATCATAAACTTCGTTGAGGAAGATGCGAGGCGCAGTACTCGCGACATTGTCCGAGAGGTGGGTGTATGTAACAGTACCGTGTGGCGTGTAGTACGGGAACAATTATTATAGTGCTGGGAATCATATTCGAATAATTCGAATATTCGATTTACTAAGTGTAAATGTAATGTAATGACTATTCGAACATTCGAAATTATTCGAATTATTCGAACAATTTCACCTCCATATTTTTTATTGGATTTTGTTAATACTTGTTGAATTTAGAAACTGTTTTGCCTGGTACAGGTTTTGAGCAAAAAGTTCAGGACCCCATACGCGCACATAGTCTCTTCAAATATCTGATTTAACAAATAAATATATAGTAGCTTCTCATTTCAACGCCTTACAATAAGACAAGGACAATAAAAAGTACTCGTTTAGAAGAAGCCTCGGCAGTCAAATTTCAGTTCTTAATTTTTAAACATTTTAGAAAAAATTGCAGCTCTTTTAAGTAGTCGTAACGTAACTAATTCGGGGGGTTTAAATAAAAAATTTTTGTATATAAAGAACCCCTTTTAATATTGTAGCCATGTACACCCTGTATATGTAGCCATAAATTTTTTGAAAATATTGTAAATATTCGAATAATTCAAATAATTTGTATATTCGTATGATTCGTATAATCGAATAATTCGAATATTGTAATAATTTCAATATATCCGAATAATTCGAATATATATTGAAGTAACTATACGGATACGAAATTAAAAAAATGTACCAGCCCTAATTCAGGGTTCAGGCGCTAAATAACAATGATTTTTAGCCCCACATGGAATTTTGCTAGTGATTTCGACATTAAATACCACATATCCGGATTTTACAAGACCCACGTAGTACATAGATCTCGGTTCCAGCAATAGTTTTCAGTGAATGTGTGGTGTTTTTTGATGACAGATTTCTCGGTGCGATTTTTAAAATTATGGCGATGTTTCCTATGGTACTAGCTATGTCCTGTACACATTTAGTTTCGCGCAACTCACTCGGATTCAAAAATACAAAACCTATGTACGTTTTCAGCCACGAAATTTGAATAATTCTAAATTTTTCAAATTTTCACCCCCAAGAACGGCGGAGACAACATTTTTAAAATTATGGCGATGTTTCGCATGGTACTAGCTATGTCCTGTACACATTTAGTTTCGCGCAACTCACTCGGTTTCAAAAATACAATACCTATGTACGTTTTCAGCCACGAAATTTGAATAATTCTAAATTTTTAACAAACGCCTTAGCAGATTTGTTGGCAGACATTCATTTACAAATCCGTGCCCAGATGTTCTACATGCATGATGGTGCTCCTTCCCATGTTTCTCTTGCAGTTTGTGGATTTTTACATAGCAACTTTCCAGAAAGGTGGATAGGACGAAATGGTCCTGTAAGTTGGCCAGCACGAAGTCCGGATATGAACCCTTTGGACTTTTCTGGGGTGTATGAAGCAAAAGGTGTACCGAACGCCGATTGTCGATGTAGCAGATCTTCAACAGCGTATTTTTGTTGCATCTAATGAAATTGGGCAAATGCCGGGAGTATTTGCATGTATGCGGACTAACTTTGACCGTCGTTATTATCATGTATGTATATTAGCACGTGGAAACAACTTTGAACAATTTTTGTGGAGCATATCGTCTTTTGGTAAGTAATTCGTTTATCGTTTAATTTTTGTGTTAGGTACTTTTAAATGAGATTTGAAAAATTTCAGCATTTTCGAATACAAAATTAAAACCGTCAAAACCACCAACAAAGCTCGCAATGCGGCGCGCAGTAACTTCAATATCAAAGACACAACTGGCTGCCGATTTTTGTTCAATTTAAAACGTAATGTTTCAGTCTATTAGTTGCTTAATAAAAGTTGCTCATTTTCGTGCTCTATCACCCTTTTCAAGGAATGCACTTATTTCAGAAACACCCAGTATAACTAACATTATTTTATTAGTAATTACTTTTGTTGTTAATTTAGTTTTAAGTAATTAATGTACACTGTTCTAGACTTTAAACCCTATGTCTACACCTCGAAAAATAAATAAATAAATTAGTTCTCCGGATGGTTCCTGAACGTACTTACCGATAATCTGCTGTAGCCGAAAACCGAAAGGAATCCCGCGATGATCCCTATAATTACCGCCCCGTAGGGCTGCAGCATCAAGTTAGCCGAGGCACCAATTGCTACTCCCCCCGCCAGGGTAGAATTTTGGATGTGCACCATATCAAACTTACGATCGGAATTGAAAATCAACGAGGCGGCGAATGCGGATGTGCAGCAGGAAGCTAAGGCCAGGTAGGTGTTGAGGACGGCGCGGTGTTGGTCGTCGCCTTTGAGCTCGATGGCATTGAAGCTGGGCCAGAATAGCCAGAGAAATACAGTGCCTGTAAAGTTCCAAATCGGTTATGCGAACTGGACAAAGGAGAAGAACGCAACTTGGTATTATGGCGTTGAAGAGTAGTTTTGAAATTAGTGTCAATGGGAAAGTTCAAGAAGGAGCTTAATAAAAAAAAATCGGTAAGATATACGGTACCTAGATACGAATTTGACATATGAAAGGAATATATTAATACATTTTTTAAAAATCTTCTTAAGTATGAGACTAAAATACATTTGCAATTAATTTTAATTAAAGTCCATATTTTTAGCTATAAAAAGCATATGGGATCAATAGAAATAATAAATAATATTTGCTACACAGGGTGTATAACAACAATCTTTCAGGGCCCTCTTTAAAACAAGTAAAAAAGATAAAGGTAATGATTTTCCCTGAAATGATTCACAGGGGAATCTTTTTAAATTGGACTTAAAACATAGTCTTTAAAGTTTAAACCATTTAAGATATAGATTTCAAAGAATAACCGTAAAAACAGCATACCTATTTTTAGCCTATTTTCTCACCCTTGCCAGAGACCTTAAAAAAAATCCTAAAAATATTCTGCATATGTCAAAGAAAAATCAAGATAAACATATTTTTTAGTTTTTCAAAAAATGTCGAAAATCACCCTAATTAGAGGTTGATATGAAATGTATGAGTAATATCAATAAGTATTTTGTATTTTTTCTATCAAATAAAATCTTACAAATAGGAAATAATTTATTTTCATTTTTAATGAGGGCGTGATATAGTTGTAAGTCTACCCTTAAATTCGCTAAGGGGCTTAAATCATCCCCTAAATACGGAAAAAATAAAAAATTACTTGAAAAATCTAGGAAAAGTACTAGGATATTCTAAATTATTAGAAATTCAAATCGTGTACTTCTCACTAGTATCTATAAGAAAACCACCCCTGTAACGAAGGGGTGAATTACCTCCGAACGTGATAACATACGAAAATATAGCGATATAAAAAAAACTGTCGAATATTTTATAATAGATCTTACTTTTCTGATCAGAAAGATTAAGCTGACTTGACCTAATTATTCCAAATTTTTTTTATAAAAATCAACCCTCATAGGGGGTGAAATCATCCCCTAAACATAAAAAAATAAAAAAAAAATATTTGGAAAATCTTGATTTTTCTAGTAATTTTTTATTTTTTCCGTATTTAGGGGATGATTTAAGCCCCTTAACGAATTTAAGGGTGGACTTACAACTATATCACGCCCTCATTAATCATGAAAATAAATGATTTCCTATTTGTAAGATTTTATTTTATAGAAAAAATACAATAAGAATTGCTTTTATTCTTATTAATATTATTCATACAATTCATATCAATCCCTAATTAGGGGTGATTTACGGCATTATCCAAAAAACTAAAAAATATGCTCATCTTGATTTTTCATTACCAATAATTTGACATATGCAGAATATTTTTAGGATTTTTTTTAAGGTCTCTGGCAAGGGTGAGAAAATAGGCTAACTTTGCGGTTACTCTTTGGTGCAGCCTTCAAGCTTTTTCATAGTAGATATCAATGTTCACATTGGTGTCCACGTAAGATTCTCAGCCCCCCCTCCATTATCTTTTTTTGCCTTAATAACACAAATCTGAGAGATTGCTTACCATTTTCTAGACACCCTGTATACTAATTTTCTCTAATAATTTATAATTCAACTGAGAAAGGTTCATTTTCGGCAGTTGTTACAACTTTTATACCACTTTCCAAACCAACTGATAAAAATATTATCAAATTATAATCTTCAATATATAAAAAATGTTTCTTGAAAAGCATAATTTTTGTATTCGACATAGCACTGATTAGTTTGATAATAAAAATTGGTATGTACGGTACAGTTATACCAGTAGATATATCAGTTTAGATACTTTTAGATATGATCTTTAATTAAAATTGGGAACATGGTTTCCATTAATTCAGTCCCTGCATTCAAAGCAAAAAATATAAATTCATTTACTAATCCAGCATCAGAAATATTGGTGTTTCTAATTTTAAAAAATGTCTTTCCATGGCTCAGACTATGAGAAGACAATGACTGATAATGACGATGATGACGATGACGATGACGATAGCGATGGCGATGGCAATGGCGAAGGTGATGGCGATGAAGGCTACGATAAATATAACCACATCGCTATACTCCAAGCAAACTTGTAGACTACAAGCCCATCGGAAATTTTTAAGGGAAAAGAAATTTTTTAATCATTTGACCCAACATGAATTACTTATAAATCAATATTACCACATAATAACAATAACTTCAGAAACTACGCCGTCAATTCTTGTTGGTACAGGTGAGTACACAGGTGAGCTAAACCTGTCCACCAACGGGGGTGGTTTTCGGCAAAATATGTTTGTACGACATTTCTAAAGTATATAGGTTACACTAAAAAAATGAACCTCGACCTAATGCCGTACAAAAATAGCAATACCGGAAGCCAGGAAAATGTTTGATTTTCTGAAAATTTTGGCCCGATTTTTGGTGATTTACGGCATTTATACTGCAAGTTTCGGATTGATACGTAGATAACTTTTTTAGTGATGCCGTACGTATCTGCTGATACAGGAGTTAGAAATCCTAGGGGCATAGGTAAGTTAAGCAATATTTTACAGGAACTTTTTCTGATATTTTTGACATGTTTCTAGTTCCTAAAAAATAACTTTTTGCGAGTTATTTTAATGATAATCGGCTGAGAAAATATTCCTAATTTGTTAACGAATTAGTTAAAAAACAACCAACTTTTATAGTAATTTTTAAAATACCTGTCTTATTATTTGATTTGGAAAGTCGTCATTTGGAATGAGATATAAAATTGTAATTTGGAATTCTATCTCCACGTTTGAAAAGGTACACTCCTACGTAAATTTACGAGTATACGGTGCAATAAAATACCTTTTCTTAGATTATATCCAGTCAGATCATTATTTTACATTATTACTTTCTACTTTGTTAGTGCTCGTCTATAATTTGATATTAGCGAGCAGTTATGTTATCTTCTTTCCTGTTCTTTTTAAACAAGCCGTTTAACTTTGTCGTTTATTTCCGGAAAAACGCTGAAGCTTACATTTTCCTTCACAGAAGTAAATGTTTTATTAATAAAGTCTGACGAATAAAAATAATAGTCCATAATCTCCGGAGAGTCTCTAAGCTCATTAAATTTTTCTAAAGGACGAATTTTGTTGCTGAAGGATTTTATGCAAGAAATTATTGTTCAGCAAATTGCTCGAGATGTCATGAAGATGCCGTATTTTAAATAATTAAGTGTAAAGCGAAAATGTGTCTCTAGGGGAAAGTGGAGAACTATCGACTCTCATTTTATGTTGTCAAATATCCCGCTTCTTAAGACTCTCTAAATTAAAGCAAATATTTTGAAATTTTAAAAGCACTGAGTTTGTCTTAATATCGAACAATATTCATATTTAAAATAGGAATGCTTTTAGTACTTTCTTAAAACTAAAAATTTATTGTTAATTTTCTTCTTATTCCTTTTATATTTTCACAATTGCACTGATGTTGTCGTTTCAAATTTTCATATTTTTCTGAAGGACATGCATATTATATTAAATGAAATTTTGTTTTAATAGCAAAGTCAACGGCTTTATAGCTAAAGCAATTACTGCAGAATAATGTTTACTTTCCATCTACTACGCTTTGAATAAAATTTATTCAGTATAAAGTTTGGAAAGTTGTGAATATTATGAAATATTTTCCAGTAAATTATTGTGAGCATTTGATGTGTCAATACACTCATGCGAATTCCCATAAGAAGGGAAAGTCTTCCAAGTTAGCGTCGAGTTTTTCCCAAAGGTATTTATTTCCCACAATATTTTTTTCTCTAATAGAAATACTTTACGCCATTTGTCATAAGTTTGTAATATTCTTTACTTTTCTTCCAATTTTGACCACGTAATTGTTGATAATAGTTATTTACACAATAAAGGAGGTAAGTATTTACCAGTCGATGACGATTTTGCGCCCGAGCGGAGCGAGAGCTGGCAATAGAGTCCGAGACTGGTAAATTATATTTAACTACTGCGCGGTGTATAACATTTTATCTGCTCCCACAGTTCTTCATGGTTCATGAAATAAAGATTAGGTGTTATTTTTTGACATTTCTTAATCAATTTATTTTGACATTCCAAATCTTCCAAAATCGCGTCAATTTAAAAAATTTCGATGACATTATTGTATTACAATTCCAGATTCTAAAAATGGTATGTCACGTACGTTTACAATTGCTTCTCGTCTACTCGGTTCTGTTTCTCACCTAGAAGTTCTCAAGAAACACATCAAGATTAGATTGAAAATTAAAACTGAACTTTCACGCTTTTTTATGCACCATCAAGCAGGTAGATGTTACAGCCAACCAGTCGGCAAGAATACCCTTCCTATGATTCCTAATAAGATTGCACAGTTTTTAAACTATAACATCCTGAAACATATACAGGCCTTTCATTCCGAAGAACATCGGCAACGTTACTGACTAATACAGGAGTTGATGTATTAGCAATCAAGAGACATGGTGGATGGAAATCAGCCACAATTGCAGAAAGATTAAGTAACAAAAATGAAATAGCCGACAGGATTCTTTACAATGACACTTCAACTTCAGGTTCTAGTAGTACGTCACATCATGCTGTTTTAGTGGATCATCATTTTGAGAAAAATGTAACAATTAGTAAATGCGAGCGAAATAATTATTCAGATTTTATAAATGTAATAATAACTGTACAATAATTACTATAAATATTCATTCATAATAATTAATAAAATGTAATGTTCATCAAATATTTCTATTTAGGGAGGTAAGTTACTTCACTTACCTCCCGTTGTCCGAAGCAACTTCCACTTCTACGGTAAAATTGACTTACCTCCNACGCTTTTTTATGCACCATCAAGCAGGTAGATGTTACAGCCAACCAGTCGGCAAGAATACCCTTCCTATGATTCCTAATAAGATTGCACAGTTTTTATATAACATCCTGAAACATATACAGGCCTTTCATTCCGAAGAACATCGGCAACGTTACTGACTAATACAGGAGTTGATGTATTAGCAATCAAGAGACATGGTGGGTGGAAATCAGCCACAATTACAGAAAGATTAAGTAACAAAAATGAAATAGCCGACAGGATTCTTTACAATGACACATCAACTCCAAGTTCTAGTAGTACGTCACATCATGCTGTTTTAGTGGATCATCATTTTGAAAAAAATGTAACAATTAGTAAATGCGAGCGAAATAATTATTCAAATTTTATAAATGTTACTAAATGTAATAATAACTGTACAATAATTACTATAAATATTCATTCATAATAATTAATAAAATGTAATGTTCATCAAATATTTCTATTTAGGGAGGTAAGTTACTTCACTTACCTCCAGTTGTCCGAAGCAACTTCCACTTCTACGGTAAAATTGACTTACCTCCTTAAAAACAATGTATTAATAGTCTGTATACTATAGTGAAAGCAGATAAATAATATTAATAATTGGACATTACTGAAAAAACAGGGAATAAAATCAGTCTTGTTTTCATATGTTTACATTTTGTTCCACTCTAATAACTTAATAGTAAAGAACATCAGATATAGAACTATTTTTTCAAATAATTGAAGTACCTATCTCAATTGTTCACATTTTTTGTAAGGTCACCAATATTCGAAAGGACCCTAATGTTTCTATTGTTGATATATTTAGAGTGAATATTCGAAATTATCTGAATCTAAATAAACATAAATAGTTTGTTGTAAAAAATATGAAAGATATCATTTATAGAATTTAAGTACATTTGGGAATTTCGAATCCTATATATTAATCGTTACCCACCCCGCAATGAAAGGTCACAGAAAACATGGGCGCCCATGTAAACATCGGAATGTACCTTTCTTGTTTTGTCGAGAACGGATCTTCTCCAAAGAGTTCGTCTTTGTGACTGGTGGAGCAACCATCTGGATACTCATTCAAGAACCCTTTTCTGTTACGAAACTACATTTACAAAAGACGGAATCAACAATTTCCCAACGATCATGTGTGGACAATCGAAAAAAACCTTCATACTATTCGAGAAACCCCAAGATTCTCCGTAAAGATTTGGGTTGGAATAATTAATAATGAAGTTTCTTCGGCGGAAATTTGAACAGCGAGATGGATTTTTGGAGAACGATGTACCTCTACTACTTCAGGACATTCCTCTTCAAATCAGAAGGACAATGTTCTTTTTACACGATGGTGCTCCGTCCTATTATGGAAGAGGTGTCATTAATAACCTCGATGAAAAGTATCCAAATCGATGGATAGGTCGTGGTGCTTGGCCATCGCGATCTCCGGATCTCAACCCGTTGGACTTTTTCATGGGGGGACATTTGAAGACACTTGCCTATTGAATGGGGAAGCCTAATTGGAGGAACCAACAGATTGAGAAGATTATACAGCGTTTGATGAGGTGAAAAACAGTATGGAGAACTACAACTGGGAACGAGTACACTTCGATAGAGGATTGAGTGCACAAGGCGGTGGTCACACTAAGCAGCTCTAATAATTACACTGTCATTACGTGTTTATTAAAATAAACCACATTTTTCACTAAACCCTCTGGTTGTAATAATGTAATTTACTATTTAGCAACTACCCATGCGACCTGGCAACTTCAATCCCCGTTATTTCGAGAACCATTGGGAACCATTCAGGAAATGTTAATAGAATCATTTTTGCTTAAAATTAGTCATAGAATTCGTATACAAAATATCTCTGATACTTCGGCAGCCACTCTCTATTTATCGGTAGTATTATATGCAATTTTTGTACAATATCTTCACTCTTCACTTGTGTAAATAACTACTATTCTTTCTCTTTATTAAAAATGCATGGCAAGAATGAGGATATTAGGAAATGATTAACACTTTGTAGGGAATATGTCGAGGAAAATGGGAATTGTCCCAAATTCTCTCTAGCCTAGCTCAGATTTATCACCGGCTGAAAGTATAACTTACCTAACATGGCAAATAAATCGGACGTGTAGTTGGACTCTAACAAGGAGCTTCTTGTTTCTTCGCTTCCTTCCTTTTTTCTGTTGATCACGTAACTAACAGCTAAACCGAAGTAAGCGCCGAAAGTGTGAACAAATATTGAACCACCGGCATCTGCCGCCTGCAATAACAAAGAGCAATATCAGGATTCTGGAAATTGTTTATTTTATTTATTTCGTTTTATTTAGTACGGAAGTGTTGAAGCGCTGGAATTTTTATCGCCTTCGGCACTCCAGCAATGTTGATTTAAATAGATTTTATGGCTAAAATATTCCGAAAATGAATCCAGCAGTTTATGTAGCACAACTGGCCCATTTAACGTTCTCTGTGGTTTGCATTTAAATTTGAGTACCTATCTAATACTTATACAATATTTACCGGGTGAAGAATCCTGCACAATACCAGGAAAAACATTTTTGTTAAACATAATAATCAGTTGATTATATTTAACTAATGATTTTGTGGGAAACAATCACTCTGCGGCCTACTACCCTGCAGCAGAATCGCCAGAAGAAAGATAAGTAACTGCATGGTTAAATCATCATTTTCCTAATAAATGGATAGGTTAACAAGGTCCAACAGCATGGCCACCGCGTTCCCCAGATCTAAATCCTTTGGATTTTTATTTATGGGAATATATGAAGCTGCTTGTCTACCCTGTTGAAATCATTACCCGTCAGCAGTTACTTGAAATAATTCAGGATGCAGCTAACCAGATAAAAAATTATTAAAAACTCATCCCTCGAGTGACGGAATCTTTGGTTTGTCGAGTGAGGCTTGCATTCGAGTAGAGGGTGGACATTTTGAACAATTTTTATAGTCTTCAGATTTGTTAATTTGGTTAATACAGGTTAACTATTGTTTAAATTTTAAACAAATAATATATTATAGCAACCATCATTTTTATTTATCAGACTACTTTGATTGAAATATGAAATTATATATTTTTTAAAATGCTTGTAACTTCTAAACAAAAACAAGTCGGACCTATTTTTATATAAGAATGTTTTATGTTTATGATTGTATTTATATTTATTTATTTTTATTTTTATATTTTTATTTTTTTTATTTTTTGGTTTTAATTATTACATTGTTTGTATATCGTGTTTGTATCCTGTATATTTGTATTTAAATTTTTTTACCTAGGTTAAGTAGAGTAGCCGTAGGCTAATCTTCGACTTTTCTAAGATTGTTAATTGTAAATTTCAAACATGTTAGAAATAAAGCCATTTTATTATTATTATTATTATTAGCAAAAAGGTTCCGTAATGTCCTTGTTCGACTCTAGAAAAACATATGAAATATGTAGGAAGAGTTTCAGTTATTCCAGAATCGATTCGTCAAACGACATTTACAGCTTTTTAAGATTTTTATAGGAAACTAACAAAAAGACTGTAGATGGATATCGAGTTTTTTGCAATAAATCTTCACTGACAGATTCCTTGATATCCTTCCCCTTTTCTAAGTACAAAAAGAGCGGAAATTGGTAAAAAAGTGTTTTCTCTTCGAGTTGGATTCACTCAAGATTTAATTCCAAAGAATCAGTATCGTCTGAGTTGATTTTTATGCACAAAGGTTGTAGTTTAATGAGATTTTTTAAATCAATAGATTATGCTTTTATTAATTTAGATGGAGATTTTATTAGTTTTTTTTCCCTTAAAAATAACTACATCTATCAGAGTACACTTAAATTTCTTAGTTCAACGTTGCCAACTAATAAAATTGCTTTATAATTTTAAAATCAACCAGATTCTATTTTATTTTATTACTTTTGCGTTACTGCAAAAACTAGTTTGTTTTATTAAAATCACCAACGCGATTCTTTAGTTTAAATTAAATTGTTCCAATAATAAATGTTAATAATGTTCGTACAGCAAAATTATAATATATTTCGTAGAATTTGCTTTTATGCTGTTTTCTAAACCTTTATAGAGCAATTACATAGCCACAAAGAAAAAAATTGTCCGTACTTCTCATGCGACATGCAGGTGTGTTATCCGTAGTATTTTTGCTGTAAAAATATCAAAAATCACAGAAAAGTGCTAGGAAAAATACAATTTTTTTTTCTATATTCAAATGTTCATTTATATAGTTAAGACCCCGTCGAACATGAGTCCGGGGTCAGAATTGATGGTTCTTTTTATAACCTCAAAAAATGGGTCAATTACTCTTACTCTTACTCTTTATTTAACGACCACATTACGTACAATAAAAGTACATTTGAAGTCACTGACATATTAATGATTAATGGTTTGTGTTCGACCAGTTAAAATAATCTTGTACACTATAAAAGCATTTGTCCAATAGAAGGCTTTTATTCAACTTATAAAATTGATTAAAACTTAAATTAGTAACATATACATTTTTAAAACATTTGTCGAAGTGATTGTATAACTTAACATCTAACTTATTAATTTTTGTTGTGCGTATTCTAGAGAACGGTTCAACCAAAATATGTATACCACGATGTATATGCAGTAACGACTGGAATATATAAATACATGGTAGTGGCATAATATGAAATTTTTTCAAAAAATAACAGATTCGATAACAAATTTGGTGAGACTACAGTCGAAACGTTAGCATACTTATGTATTTTTTATTAATTATTTCAAAACTTAATAAAACTCTGTATAAGCAAATACAATTTTGTTTTCATTAGTTCATTTGTCATCAACTGCTATTATTATCAAAATTGTTATTGTTACTCTACTATTACTGATTTTATGGTGCTGAAATATTGTGCTGTGTAAAGTCTATAATTTGAGTCTCATACCTGAAAGATTTTTGTGCCCAAATAAAGGTTTCCTGAATAAGCTGTTATTTCTATAAAGGCCATAATCATTAACTGGATATACGACGTCCTTCCGAGTACTGCCCCCACAGATATAAGAACCGTAGCAGCGGCAATATCAGCTTTGTAAATACTAAAAAAGAGAAACAGAAATTTATTATATTAGGCTGGACGCAAAAAGAAACGAAAGGACAAAATATGTGTCTTACAACGTGGATTGGAGAAATTGACTTGGTTACTGGTGAGGAAAATTATTAAGTTAAAAGCTTATTTTCGTAAAAAAGGTCTCGAGCTTGTGCGTGCGGACAAACGGACCCTGTTGACACAGGGTCGTAATCGAAAGAAAGGTTATACTATGAAAAATTTAGTAGTATTTGTTATTATATGTTTAAGTTACTACAATAGAATGTTATCCATGTTAAAATGTAACTGACGGTGTCACAGTCTATATCTCGGCTTCGATCATCTACAAGACAAAATACTAATTCTGTTATAGGTCCCGTTTAAATTCGATATCAAATCGCTGATTGAGAATATTTATTTAAAATTATTTTAAAATATACAGGCTGCATATGTATGAAAGCGTATACAGTGTAGGAAAGTACCGATGGTCTATCAGAAGTTACGTGAGAGCGATAAAGTAAGCCATAGAAATCCATGTGATAGACAAGGATGGCTACAATGAAGGCGTCTAATAGTCAACGCCCATTTCGCCCTTCCACAAATAAGAAGTGGATCTTATTTGTGGAAGGGCGAAATGGGCGTTGACTATTTGATGCCTTCATTATAGCCATCCTTGTCTAATCACATGTATTTCTATGGCTTACTTTATCGCTCTCACGTAACTTCTGATAGACCATCGGTACTTTCCTACACTGTAGTTTAAATATAGTACCATATATATATTTTTACATGTTTGGTGACATAGTTTTGTAGACTTTTCATTTTGTATACTTCTTTAGTCTATTTTAAATTTAACTTTTTGCATATTTCTATGATTAATTTCGCCAATTTTTATTAAAAAATTGCTGAACACGGCATTTATTATTCAGTATTAAATCTGTTTCATTTTTAATTTTCCGTGGCCTTCCAGCGCCATTAAAATTAAATATCGTCCTTTAGCATAGTCTAGATATTTGAATTGATAATATAATAATTTAGGGAAATGGAATAATTCATGAATAAATTATTCTATTTCTTCGCATTTCTATGTAAACCCATCAAACCACATATCACTGTAATCCTGAATCATTATATTTTAAAAAGTTTTATTTCTGCGTGGTATATTTTATACATATAAAACAAATGCAACAATAGTGAAACAACTCTTTTTGCAAAAAAAAAACTCTTTTTATTCTAAATACAGCAATCTTTCCTTTAGTCAGTGGTGGCAGGAATATCTATAGCCTTAAGTACATTCGAATAAAGGGTGTTCGAAGATTGTGTTCTTATAATTGGAAGAGCAACTAGACATACAAATAAAAAATAAAATTATATGAACATGCTTGATAAAATGCGTCCTATGCATACTACAACCATTTCAGGGGTATAAAAAACACCTTGGAGAACAATATTTAAATAACTGTATAACCTTTTTCTAAACTATGTTCATATAAACTCCTTTGAATATAGAAACGAAATCCTCGAACACCCTGTATTCTCAGCACATTAAATTTCGAAGGTATGTCTGTTGTATTCGAAATCCACAGTAGTATCAAAATTTTACAAGGGACAAAAAATGTTTAAAAATCAATTTTATTTTACTAAATCTAAATTTTCTACAATATATTAATGTGTCCAATTATGTCGGCACCATAAGGGATACTTTTTTATTATTAGTTTTATGAGAAAAAGTTATTCTTGTTAAGTTAAAAAGTTCCGCATCTCCTAAAACCCAAATTGATAAAATCAGATTTCAATTTTTTGCAGTCGTATATGAGGTTTGTCGAAAAATGTAAATTTTGCTCAAGAGTAAAGTACCTTTATCTTTTACAATATCGACAACCGTTATTAACAAATGTTGATCTTAATAGAAAACCACGGTCAGGTATTCATTATGATCCGTCTACTATTAAAAAACAGATTTTGTTATTTTTAAAACTCTTTGCAGTAGCGTACATCGTATGTAACCGCTCTTTTCTGAAAATGTTTGGATATTCAGGGGTTTATTTATTGAACTATTGAATTGCTCATTCAATTTCATATGTCTCAAGTTTCCTCAAAGTTGCCATATTTTGAGTAAAATGGGAAAGTCATTGTCATAGAACTTAAAAAACTAAATTTGGCAAAACAAAATATTTTGGAACGTATATTTCTATGAACTTCTTTATTCCTTGAAGCAGTAAAATTAATTGTGAAAGTTTAGGATCAGTAAACATTATGCTTCATTAAGAATCATCTTGCATTTTTTCTTATAAGTAGGTATAAATGTTATTATTATTACAGTCTACCTCCCTTAACAAAAAATTGAATTATTTTCAACACATAAGTTATATTGAAACAGCTTAATATCACAATATAGAGAATTTTTGTCAGAGTTATGGAAATTTTAATAATAATAATTAGTGCATTTTCTGTCAATTCACAGGATAATTTTAACGTGCCTAACAAACGATATTTTAATTAATTCAAAAATAATAAAGCAAATGGCCTTTGAAATGTTAAAATGTAACTGGCAGTGAAGTATACATATATTTTAGTAATTACATGTGATATTTATATTTATTTTGATGCTGTTTTTTGTCAATACTGCTTAAAATAATATAATAAGTATAAAAGCTCACATGTTTCATTTTGCAGAACATATTTTATTACTCAGTAATCTAGGTACTTTGTAATTAACATAATTAATCTAGGCAACTCATAACTCTTCAATATAGTGCACTATATAATCAGTACTAGCAATGGGGTTGTTTGTGATTTTATCTTTACTGACTCTCTGCCCAAGATTAAATTTGATATGGCAATTTTGTTTTAAATTGGTTCTTTTTCGTACTTAAATAAAAGATATTAGCTTTTTGTGTCAACCTAATATTAAAGTACAGTTCTTCGGGTACCAAGAAAACCGAATTAAAACTTTAATTGTTTGCAACAAAATAGGTATTCGTTTCATTTATTGTCGAGAATGGACCATTATGTGTGTTTCTGATGGTTATAGTGAGGCTTTTCAAGTTCATGTAAGTTTATAACACTGAAGATGTATACTATATAGATTGTAATCTCTTCAATTTGTTTACAAGATATTGTATCAAAGTCGATCTTTATTTTTTTAATGAAGATGTAGCATTAAAATAGCAAAGAAAAAATTTGCCTCACTGTGCGTATCCTATATTGTGTATTACCATTTCATTATTACACGAGAAGAAGGTTTGTGTTTTTTCTTATAAAACCGAACGTAGCAATGCAGTATACACTTTCGTATCATAACAGTTCGATCAAGTGAATTTACTTGGAGAAGTTCTCACCAATATAGAAGTGTTTTTGAGAATTATCTGCCAGCAAATTGAAATAATATGGAGTAAATGCCATAGGCATCGTGGTTGGTTTGTAAAGAGTGGTACAGGATGGTTACACCAATAAGTTAACTTTCGATCTTCCAATTCTTTATTAATCAGGTAAAGGTACAGCCCGAGAAGAAAGTCAGGATTACTCAAGACGTGATTTTGTTGCTGTAAAAATCATTCACAGATTTAGAAGCACCTGATGAAGATTCAGAAGAATCTGATGGCGACTCTGAAGGATCTAATGACGATTTCTTGAATCTAGTGAAGAATTAAAATAATTTAAGATATTTACTTTTATAACTGTCAAACGTTTCAATTTCCAATATTTAATGTTATTATCTTCTATATTATGTTTTCCAGTTGTTTTATATCTCCTGTCTATTGTTTCCTTATTTCTTTGTACGTTTAATGTTCCATTTAACCATCTACAATCGTCATTAGGTGAATGGTGTTTGTTGATTGCTTTTGTATTCTATATATAAATGGTTCAATGCTACTACTGATTTATATGAGTTATTATGGTTTGAAATGATTTTATCTTATGGATAACTGAGCGAAACTAGAAATACTTGACCAGACCTGCCCATCTTGTTAATATGAAGGGCGGGAATCTCTCCTGCAGTATTTGGTGATGTGAGGGGTTACATAATTACATAAAGTGAATTAATTGAAACAAATTAAATACGAGGAGACAGCCGGTGGTCAGGACGACGTAATTATCACGCGACGGAGGCAAATATTGATTTAGATTGGAATAATTTAAAGCCTCGATATTTGAAATTCATTCACAAAAATGGTGAAGTATGTTTATTTAATCTGTCCGATATTCGTTCTTAAAGTTCACTGAGTGAATAACTTTCCGTCAATGCTATTTTATACGATTGTTAGAAATGTTCAGCAAACATAAACATCACTAGGAAGGTACATATTTATGAATGACTGAAGTTATTATCACAAATTAAGCGATTTTTGTGTTGATGGAATATACTTTCTGTTATAATTAATTTCAAGCATCTGATGATTAATTGAAACCGTTCGTTCCACTCATTTTTTTTCTGAGAATTATATATTTAATCCAAAATGGCTGCTCTTCTGGTTATAAAAGTAAAAGATTTGGAACGTATAACATGTATTAACTAGATTTCGGGCCTGGTTATTAGACTCTATGGAACTTGGGTCGACGCCCGAACGCACTTCAGGCTGGCTTCGCTAGGGTTCTGCAGTGGTGTCTGCGTGGAGATTGGGAAGTTCTAATCCTTGAAAAAAAAAACGCCCATCTCGTGGCGGTAGCCATCTCCGATGGGTTATGGAGCTGAAATCTATTTTGGCTAAAGTCGTCCCTAAAATCTTGTTGCAGTTCGATTTTCATAAAATTCGCTGTTGTTTTCTGAAAATCCGAAAATTTTCGCACCTTCCTACGCTAATGGTGGCATTGCTTAATGTTTTTTGGAGTAAATAATGATGCAGGGACGACTACCAATATCGAAATTTATAAAAATCAAATAAAAATGTTTCCCATGATGTGTACTTTTGACTGTCTTGTAACTTGTTTCTTGCTTATTTAAATTTTCAATTAATTACCTCAATTATTTACAATAAATTTAATAAATAAAATCATTGCAAATAAATC